ATTCGCTTGCGCGTAGGGATCTTTAGCAGTGGGAGGAAACCGGAGGACCCAGAGAAAACCCACAAGGTTGGACAGGCGACCCTACTCCATTTCAGGGAATCGAAACCATGCCATTTGATCAATAACACACTTATGATACAGCGCGCACATGCTAACCATTCGGCCATCCAAACCCCCACACTCATTAAGGAGGTTGTTGTTTACAACTGCATCAGCATCACTCTTGTTCACTCATACTCCCATACATACACACTTCTCTTTATATTTTTGTTTATCTATAGCTCAGGTTAATTGGTTTCCCATTAATAGTGTTAATACATTTATCTTTATAAATAATAGGATTCTCCTTTTTTAATCCCTGTAAGAGTTTCTGTTGTGTAGGTTTTGTTTAAATGGCCCCTAACCAAAGGTGTTAAGATTTAATTGTATTTGATTCTTATTTTTGTTGCATATTCTGTATATACAGTGCAGGAGTAAGGCTCTGCTGGCCCTAAGGCACATTTTGATAGGTGGCCTGAAAATACAGATATGTTGGGCTCATTGACAAAAGGAATTAAGTTAAATTTAGCAACAGAAAATTTATTACAAACAAATTCAGAACATTGACAGTACTGTATTTACTATAAGTAGCCTACATATTCCCATTCACTGCCTAGCTAGATTACGACAAACGCGTAGATGAAGAAGGATGCAATTTATTTACATAAAAATAAAGGCAAGCATTTTTGTCACCACCTGATAATTATCAAAAAAGTTTTACTTTATTATTTTTGTGGCCTGGATTTTTGGCTGGCCCTAGGCACGTGCCTTATTTGCCTTATGGTTAATCCAGCACTGTGTATATATTTGCCTACTATTCACATACCTGTACATCATTTGCTTGATAAAGACGAGAGGGGATCCTCGTCAAAACGTCGCTTAGTATTAAACTCAGTAATTGTGTATCCATAAAATTGTACCTTGTGTTAAGACTGTAAGAGCCAAACTACTTTACCTTTATTAGCTTGATAACAACTCTTCGAAACGTCGCCTTAAAATACACTAGTACCTGTTCTCCATGTACCTGTTTTACTTGTTTATCCATAGAATGATTTTCATAATAATATCTAATAATATCTAAAATTAACCCTGATTTTACAATAAAATCTAAAACTAACCTTGATTGTACATACTACAGTAAGAGAGCAGATAAAGAGTTTAGCCACAATTGTATTTTACAATAAAAGAAAATTCTAGGCAAACTGCATATCAATCAATGAACAATTGTAGATTGATAATATTATAAAAGATATAATAATGATTGATTATTCCACCTTTATAAGAATCATGCACCTGTTGGCTATTACAAGCTGTTAACTCACCTATTCTTATTTATAAATGGCACTGACTTAAACAGGCATTATGAAAAATTAGAGAAAAAGGTCAAAAATAGATAATGAAAATTGAATATGTATTGAATATTCAGTCAAATTACGTTTATTTTGAGCGAGTTTATGAATGGGCAGTTGAAAAAATCAGATGAAAAATGCACAATTATGACTGAAATTTTTAACTCAGAAAATATATATTTATGCAGTAGCGGATCAAGAAGCTGAGATTAAGAGGGGGATACAAATCTAGGGCACCATCCATAATCCCATCGACAGTGAATGTCAACAAAATATTGGCTATAGTACACTGAACGCCCCAGTAGAACATAGATAGATCGTATTGCCTATATATAGTTGTTCGCGGCTCGTTATTTTGCCTGTTTTATTCGAGTTGACATAAAGTTCATGTCATATATGATTGTTACTGAATTTGTTATTAAATTTTTGTGAACCTTAGGGGCAGTGGCTATAACACTGAGCAGCCTGAAGGGGGGAGTGGTCTCCCCCTGAGAATATTCTGTCAGATTTTGATCAATAATTCAAGCAGAACAATGAAATCTGATGTTTGACTTCAGGGGCTGTTTTCAACTTCAGGGGCTGTTTTCAAATTTTTCTCTTAAAATCTGAAAGCAAAAACGTTAATTTGCTACCCCGTAAAGTAAGTAGATCTAATGAATTTATAAATAAAATTCTGTTGTTGACATTTTCAACAAGACAAAATTGACAAACTCTGCCTACCTGAGATCAAGATGAAAGAATTTATCATAAAAATAATACACAGTAAAGATATAAAAACGTTACCCTTTGACATCATTGCACTTACTCATAGACTAACAATTAAATAACAACCAAGAAATCCGAAATGTCTCCAATGACAACTTTCTGACACAACTTCAATAACACCGCCATCTTGACTTGCCAGATTGAACCACGTGCCTTATGTCCTCACGTGACTTGCAGATTCCCAACTTCAAACTCAAATATTCAAATGTTCGAAAAGAAAAAAAAAGATACCGTAGATATTGCCGAACTTTTTTTTAGTATTTGAAATATGAATGTATTGAATTACATTAATCTAAGACTTTGCGCCAACATGAACACCTAGGTCCCGGTTTCACGAAACATTCTCGAACTTAAATATACCGGTACATTGCCAATTGCTATTGCTCTGGTCTATCTTTAGATTTAACTATTATAGTGAGAACTTCCAGCTCTTTATCTCATCTCCAATAATGTATCTTTAAGCCTGAGACTGTTTTGTGAAACTGGTGTATTTGATAGATTACAACAACAAAAGTTTTATAAAGGGCTATATTTTAGTTAAAATAATTAGGCAAACAATTTTGAGTAAATTCTTAACTTAAGGCTGAGAATGCTTTGTGAAACTATTAGGACCTGATCTTTAAAGAATTTGTGGCGGGTGTTGCACACGGGGCTAAGTGAATGGAATTGCAGTTTTTGCGCCACGCTCAACTGGAAAAAACACATTGTTTCTGCAGGAATAATAACAGGGGAGATTCCAGGGTGGAGACAATGTCAAGTTTGGTGTGAGATCTGGGAATCACCCCAGAAGTATATAAAACGGAAGCCCCGGGACAATATTTCTGCCCATTTAGGTCCATGTATAGCACTATAGAGAAGAGTGAGACCAAAACGACAGCCCAGAAAATCTTTCTCTAGCGCACTCTGAACAATGAACATTTTGGAACTATGATCGGCAACTTCTTTTTTCGGAAGGGGGGAGGGGTCAAATCATTTGTTGGAGGGAAACTACACCCCTTGTCCCGACTGGCTATGAGTGTGCCAAAAGTATGTGGGCCAATTAACTTCTTTAGAGACCCCTAGCCCAGCACACTCTTCTCCATCTATCCCTTGGTGGTGGTGTTGAGAATACAGATTGACTAACCATCACCAGACATCTTTATGGACATCAAAATGTTTGCTCACCATTAAATTTTTAATTGTCTCAGAAGGGAGTATCTGATGATGACCATCTGAAGTTCAGAGTGTCTTGCCATCGTCAGATGTTTGTCACCATCGTTCGGTGGTGATATATCTTGATTGTGGTATCTTAAAGGGCTATAGAAGACGGGCATACGCCATTCAGTGTGCTATAAGGGACATGTTTCCCGGACAGGGGCACTACGTCCTATTCTTATATTGAATTCCAACTTGTGTACCCAGGACCTCGTTTTTCCGTCCTATCCGAAAGACTTTACATTGTCCCTTGCCAGGTCACTGACAAGGGAGAAACACGCCGGAAAGTTTGCACTAAATATGATTTATATAATTGTATACTGTATGGGCTTTGTTACATAAATTTTGTCTTATGCTATGTTCCCACTGTCACGATTCGGGCTATGATTGAAATCGTGGTTTTAATCATAGAGTGATCGTGGGGATCTTATCAGGTCTTGTCATATATTGTGGCCAGTCGTAACAATCGTGGTTTTAATCGTGAAGTAATCGTGGTGATCCTATCAGGTCTTGTCATATATTGTGGCCAGTCGTAACAATCGTGGTTTTAATCGTGGAGTAATCGTGGTGATCCTATCAGGTCTTATCATATCTTGAGGTCAGTCGTAGCAATCGTGTTAATAGTATTGAAACATATCCGAATGTATCTGCTCGTACAAGATCGTGGACTCATTAGAGACAATCCTATCGTAACGCATCGCACGACAGTGGAAACGTAGCATTATTTAACATATCCCAAATTCTTTCAGTATAGATAGAATGGGTTCCGTCTTTATTAGCCCAGTTGGTACTGTATAGCAAGACGTTAAAGTCCATTTCATATTCATGTCATGGTATGGGAACCTGTCTGGACTTCACAATGATTTTCCCATCAACAAACCTTGTTCATCATCTTTTATAAGTGGAATCGTGATATCTGGCATAGTTTCTATTATTATTCTGGCACCCCAGTGTGGTTTGTAGCTGCCATATATAGGCAAATCAAAGGTTGCATGGGATCTGAAGAGCATTTTATACATCCCAGTGGCGAACTGTTGAGATTTTTAACTGGATTTTCTAAAGCCAAGAAAGATGTCTTTAATAAAAGATATAATTTAAAGAATTTATTATGCAACACCTATAATAAATAAACCCATATTCTTTAGACAGGATGGTGCAGAATAGTAGGAGGTTGACAACCAAGAGAGAAAGAGAGAGAGAGAGAGAGAGAGAGAGAGAGGGAGGGAGGGAGGGGGTGGCTTAACTGGACTGAACACAAACCAGGTCATTTCGGATTTTATTTCAATAATTTGCTTGCAGTGGGAGGAAACCCATGAGGTTGGACAGGCGACCCTACTCCTCGTCACATAAAACCGGGGAATCAGAGAGTGAGAGAGAGACATGGGGTTTAACATCCACTTGACATATTAGGTCATTTCGGGACTAACATATGGTTCAATTTTATTTCAATAATTTGCTTTTGCATACAGGTCTTTCGCAGTCAGAGGAACCCAGAGGACCTGGAGAAAACCCATCAGGTTGGACAGGCGACCCTTCTCCTTGACATACCTTAAATCTAAAGTGTGTGTTATAACCATTCGGCCACCCAAACCCACCCCCACAACCAAGAAATCCATGCCTTGCCTATCCCAAGTACTAAGAACAATACATAAAAAAAGAAAATTATTTTTTTATTATTTAAAGCCATTTGAACACAATATAACTGGGAATATCAGCCCAAATAAAACAGTAACAATTATACATTAAATACATCCAATTCTAAACCAATACCACTAATAAACAATTCATTTGTTGTTCTTTTATTCTCCATCTAAACAATTATTTAAATAATATATTCATATTATTCATAATCTAAATACATATTCAATTATTCTTATTTTTTCAAATCTAACCAATTATTCTTAATCTAAACAATTATTCGTATTATTATCATAATCTAAACAGCTGTTCATATAATTCTTAATGTAGACAACTGTTATCGTAATCTAAACAGCTGTCTATATAATTCTTAATCTAGACAATTATTATCATAATCTAAACAGCTGTTCATATAATTCTTAATCTAGACAATTATTATCGTAATCTAAACAGCTGTTCATATAATTCTTAATCTAGACAATTATTATCGTAATCTAAACAGCTGTTCATATAATTCTTAATCTAGACAATTATTATCGTAATCTAAACAGCTGTTCATATAATTCTTAATCTAGACAATTATTATCATAATCTAAATAGCTGTTCATATAATTCTTAATCTAGAAAATTATTCATGTTATTTTTTATCTAAACATTTATTCACATTATTCTGAATCCAAACATTTATTCACATTATTTTTAATCCAAACATTTATTCACATTATTTTTAATCTAAACATTTGTTGTTCTTCTTCTTCTTCTTCTTCTTCTTCTTCTTCTTCTTCTTCTTATTATTATTATTATTAATCTGAACAATTATTATTAATCTTAATCTGAACAATTATTCTAAATCTAAACAATTGTTCACATTATTCTAAATCTAAACATTTGTTCTTATTATTAATCTGAACAATTGTTTATATTATTCTTAAGCTATGCAATTATTAGTATTACTATTAATCTAAACAATTACTTTTAATCTAAACAATTATTCACATTATTATTGGATCAGGAACTGTTCCCAAGCGCTACTTAAGTTGCATATTTATGGTGCTGGGTTAGAAATACTGAAACAGGAAAATTATTTATAATTCATATAAGTAAATATTATATGGGTATATATACATCAAATACTCATATTTCCTAGCATTCACCAACATGATTCAGATGTCAAATAATAATAGTAGAAAATTTAAATGACACTTAAAAGTTGAAATTTAACTAAAATATGTTTTAAGCGGGGCTTATGTCAACTTTACCACTTGCAAGTTTGCTTATGTCGATCGAATCAGCAACTGAGAGGAACTGAATTCAGAGCACTCAGGTTGACTCGGAACTGATAGCAATCTTCAAAATGGTGAATACCTAAGAACACGGACCCCAAAGGCATGGTCAGTCTTACCACAATTCTATTACTGCACTATTGTCGACATCATCATCGACATTTGAAAAGTGGATGCCTTTGTTCACTTTCATGTTGCCTTTTTATAAAGTCACATAACTCATGTCACTTATCTTGTGATGTTATATCTATGGAAACAAATTGACGCCAGTAATAAGAGCGCTCATGTTGACAGCAAATAGTTGCCGCTAGTTTAAGCGAGTTGCAGAAAGTTAAACATAGGCAAGTGGTTGCTTTGAGTTGTAAGATGCGCTTAGGTTGACTTTTCTCAGTTGCGTTCAGTTGATGCCAGTTGCTCCCAGCTGCTTTCACTTGCAAGGTCGACATAAGTCTTGCTTAATGGTTCAAACATCTTAAATTTGAAATTATACAATCGTTCAACCTTTATACAAAGGCACCACAATTCAACCTCCTCACAAAGACAACATATAAATGTACATTGTTTGAAACCAAGAGATTATTTGCGATAAGAACATCAACCATTGCACAAATAAATTTCTATTGAAATGATTGTATTGAACTAAAAGCAATCATCTTCATGCCAAACCTTCAACAATTTTAATTTTAAACATTTTCAGAAACTAATTTATCAATTTTATATTCAAACATCATACACAAAATAACTTCAATTATTAAAACACTCAACTAGCCTAGTTACATCAACATATATTAAACTTTATGATAACCATAATATTTACACCTGAATGCAAAGCCCAGCTTAGGCATGGGCCTGAGGGGCCCTGCGATTTAGGGGGCCCCGCAGTTCATGGCAAAATGAGAAAAAATTCAAATTCCAGATGAAAGTTTTACGGTAACCGCTGTTATATGCAATTTCCGTGCATTGTATGCCATTCGGAACTGAACAGATTTCGTATTTGATCAGATATTTAAGTGATAAACACTTCCTGTTTCGCAGGTAGTGTTTATCGACATTGTAACATGCTATTTTAGCATTTTAAAAAAAATTACTAAAACAGAGGGGTGTGATTGTCCAAATGACAGTGTCTAATTGACCAATCAAAATGCAAGATTCACCCTTAAGCATGTTACAATATGTAATTATTCTTGTATTGCAAATCGTTCAATTGTGTGTTACACATGTGTGCCATTCAAAAGGATATGAAATAATCATTTCGTCTCGTTAGAGGCCACGCGATTCTAGTCAGGCCCGGAGCCCCACTCTGAATGTAAAGCCTAGTGAACATTTTTTTTTTGTTTACTGAAGCAATGAGTAATTGTTAGGCAATCGGGCATGTTGTGAAGTGTGTGGTAATACAGATTCTCTGATTGGTCTAACAAAAAAATTGACCAAATTGGGATTGGTTCTTGCCACATAGCAGGCAACCGTTCTCGGGTTGCAGTCTCTGTTTTCACTGACGCAATCTGATCAAAACACAGATTCTATTTTGATTTTTGTAGTTCAAAATTTCATTTTACTTGTCTTTACTACACTAGGGTCTGGAAGAGTTGCATTCTGGATATGTGAGGGATTAGCCAATGATATGATCTGTTACAGGGAGCTTTGAGTGTGAGGTGCACAGAACTGTGGGGGTAACCTACTAGAAATAGCAATGTTGATTGATTAATCAAATGTCTGATGTCACAAGGTCAAAAGCTGCTCGTTTGACCCCTGACGTGACCTTGCACTACAACTAGTCAGATCTTCATGTAGTTAAGGCCATCGAAAGTATAAAAAACGAAATGAAAAATAGATCTGTATTGTAATCAGATTGCAGCTGTCATTTTATAAAATCACATGGTAATATATATATGCTCTGATTGGTCCAACAACAAAATGGACCCATTCGATATTGGTAGCTGTCGCATTGATGTATGATTTCAGAGCAACAAGTAATTCTTTGACAGAAACATCCAACAAGTTAGAAAAATTTAGCAACTCAATATCTATTGCCGTTGCAAGAATTTTTGTTCTAAGAATATGGGGGTAATTAAAAAGCATTTAAAGAAATGCCTAATAAAATCGTCTGGGAGAGAGAGAGAGAGAAATGGGGTTTAACGTCCACTCAACACAAACTAGGTCATTTCGGGACTAACATGGTTTAATTTTATTTCAATAATTCGCTTGCGCGTAGGGGTCTTTAGCAGTGGGAGGAAACCGGAGGACCCAGAGAAAACCCACGAGGTTGGACAGGCAACCCTACTCCTTGTCACGTACAACCGGGGATTCGAAACCACGCCAGTCGACTCAATGACAGACTTTATGACACAGCACGCGCACGCTAACCATTCAGCCATCCAACCCCACAAAATTATCTGAGTGTGCTAGACTTTAGCAATGCATCAACAAATGGGATTCCAATATTGAAAACTTTTTTTAAACATTCCCTGATTGAACCATATGTGACCAGTCATAGTAAATGAGTCGCAAGTCAGTTACATCACATTACAACACATTAAAAACTGATTACGAGTAACAACCCTTTCTAGTTCTACCCTATAACCTCTGGAGCAACGAAATGTGGTCGTATAAAAATATCTTTCTCATGATATTTTTAGTTTATTTCGACATTTTTTGTTCATTTATCATATTCAATGACTTTTGGCTCATTTTGCTGTCACGGGCCACACATATTAAAATCCTGTCAAATGAAATTTGTTTATACTGATTACTAAAGTGATAGCTCAAGTTTAACAAGAGGCAATCTGGTTAAAACACAGATCTTATTTCGTTTCGTTTTTATAGTTCAAAATTTCGTTTTACTTGTCTTTACTACACTGGGATCTGGAAGAGTTGTTATTTAACTCGTGTTCTGAATGGCGTCAGGGATAAGCCAATGAAACGGTCTGTTACGGCGAGCTTTAGGCGTGTTTTTCACGGAACTGTGGGTAATCCACTAGTAACATCAATGCTGATTGGTTAATCAAATAACTGTCGTTAAAAGGGTCATAAGTCGGTCTTTTGACCCCTGACGTGATCTATCGCTATAACTTGTCAGATCTTCATGTAGTGTAGGCCATCGAAAGTATAAAAAAAACGAAACGAAATATAGATCTGGGCCCTTATTCACGAAAACTTAAACTAAGATACAATCAAAATTTTAAGAAATACTGCAATTCCATTGGCTGACCAGTAAAATCAATTTGCATATATCCAATGAAGTTGCAGTATTTCTTAAAATTTAGGTTGTAACTTAGTTTAAGTTTTCGTGAATAAGGGCCCTTTTTTTTAATCAGATTGAAAAAGAGGCCAACTATAAACCCTGCAGGTTTAATTTACTCATATACGGTAAATTATACGACCCAAGGTAGACAACTCCATCCTTTTCTTCAGCTTCACTAATAGCAGGCACTTTCTCTCCAGTAGGATCATGAAAACTACGGATTATCTCCCCTTGATTATTCAATTCAAGCAGAAGACCATATTTGGGCACGAATTTAATTAACGTTTCCTGTGAAACAATCTGAAATACAGAATAAACAATGTACTTATTATAACTATGATATTCACAAATAAAAACATAAACAATCAGTGAGAACATTAATCTTCAAGGGAGATAATCTATGAAAACTAAATAGAATAGGAGAGAGAGAGAAATGGGATGTAACGTCCTTTCGACACAAACTAGGTCATTTCGGGACTAACATATGGTTTAATTTTATTTACATAATTCGCTTGCACGTAGGGGTCTTTGGCAGTGGGAGGAAACCGGAGGACCCGGAGAAAACCCACGAGGTTGGACAGGCGACCCTACTCCTTGTCACTATGAATGGGGGAGAGAGAGAGAGAAATGGGGTGTAACGTCCATTCCACACAAACTTGGTTATTTCGGAACTAACACATGATTCAATTTCATTTCAATAATTCGCTTATCAACAGTGACTGAGGTTACCGTAAAACCCTGTATCAACTGTGATCAATTTTACTGTAACACCTTGTATCAACTGTGGGGGATCACGTGGCTAAGCAGGGCTGGCCACTAATAAATTGATGGCGAGCAGATGACTGCTCACGCAAATTTAGGCTTGGGCGAGCAAGGCGAGCAATAAAAATTGCTCACGCAAAATGTTGTTTCCGTGAGCACACATTTTGTAACATTGTTTCAATTTAAAATCATATGAAATGGCTATTCCTGGCTTTGCAGTAAACATGTGTGACCATCGCTTTCTGTTTTTGACAGTCATAGTCATACGACTCTTCTTTAAAACCAATCACCGTATGGATTTCTTCACCCCACGACATAAATGTGGATACATCAATGTAGATAGGGCAATCGGGTTTCCTTTGGCCATTATTACGCTTAGATTTAAAATTATACGACTGCACAATGGAATAAAAACCGAAGTTCTGATAAAATAAGAAATACCGATAAATATTAGTTTGAAACGTGTTTATTTAGCGTGAATGCCAAATGCCGGATGTAAACATTCTTTACTTTAGACTCGATTATCACGCGTTTGTTACTGGTGTTCGTGGGAAAACCAGTCATGATGTTCAGGTCTCAAGTGTATTTTTAGTAACACGAGTGGTGAGCAACTTCATTAGCCAATCAAATTTAAGGAGGAAATGCCGCGTGCAGCTGGGTGAATCTCAGTTTGACAGACCAATTTATGACGTTATTGACACTGTCGGGTTAGTTTCGGCAATAAACTTATCAATATTTTGATTATTTTTACAGGTTTTTCTTAAAATTTTACGCGAGCAACGAACCGCTCGCGTAAATGTAGATTTACGCGAGCACAGCGCGAGCGCGAGCAACTGCTCGCGTCTCTTGGCAAGCCCTGCTAAGTGGGTAAGACGCTGGCTCGCTAGTCTGGAGGTCGGGTGTTCGATCCCTGCATTGGCCGAGAAAGTTCATCTAGATTTTCCGGCGTGGTTCCCCCTTGTCAGTGATGCAGGACGGAGGGCCTGACAAGGACAGCTGTCTAGTCATTCGGATGAGACAAAAAAACGAGGTCTCGTGTACACATTGGCGTGCACGTAAAAGATCCCTTGACTGTTGGAATTCGATATAAGAGTAGGCTGAAGTGCCGCTGTCCGGGCAAAATTTCCCTCATAGCACACTGTATGGCGTATGCCCGTCTTCATTAGCCCAGTTCGGAGCAAAACAGTAGGACGTTAAATCCCATTTCATTTCCTTGAATCAACTGTGATTGATGTATAAGCTCTGATCGAGTTTACAGGAAAACCCTGTATCGACTGTGATTGAGTTTACTGTAAAACCCTGTATCAACTGGTCTGAAACCACCTGCTTAAATAACGACAGGAGTTATGCCCCTTTATTTTTGGTAAAAAATGTCCGACAAGAAAAATGTTGAAATCCCAACACTGCCTTGAACTCACAGCGAAACCATTCCTAAAGGGGTTGATGGAATTAAAACTAATTAAATTTTTTATTAACTACAAACCTTTGTTATTATTTTTCGTAACCATGGTTTATCTGCTGCATAATCTAAGAAACTGAATTTTCCAGCGTACCTAGCCCCGGCTAGTCCCACCCAGTAGGTACCTCGCGGTGTTCGTCGTATATTGTCAGGTATACCAGGTAAATTCTCAGCAAATATTTCCATTTCACCTCGCTTTGATCCTTGTAAATGATACCTGAAATGAAATGAAATACATTTGTGTTTAGTTTCCTACTTTTCTGCACGGACTGGGCTATTGAAGATGGGCATACGTCATGCAGTGTGCTATGAGGAAAATTTGTTACGACCTACTCTTATTTCGAATTCCAAGGTTCTTTTATGAGCAAGCCAACATGTACACAGGACCTCGGTTTTTCGACCCCTCCGAATGACTATACGTTTTCCCTTGACAGGCCCTTGGTCCTACACCAATGACGAGGAACCACATCGAAAAATCCTGATGACTTTTTTCGTCCAACGCAGAGCCACCATGGCTCTCGCATCACCATCGAATGACTAAAGATTTTATTATAAATATAAAACCCTACTTACTTCCATATTCTATATTTAGTTGATTCACAGACGAGCAGGAAATCTTCGTTAGACGATAATTGAACACCGTTAGCAAAACTCAGACCACTGACTAACTGTTCAACTGATTTGTCTTTAGGATTATACTTTAATAATCTATAAATATATTCAATATTCTATAAATATAATCTAGAAATAGATTCAATATCCTATAAATATATATAATATCTATCAATATATTCAATAAATATATACAATAATCAATATTCTACCAATATATTCAATAATCTATCAATATATACAATAATCTATCAATATATACAATAATCTATCAATATATACAATAATCTATACATATATTCAATAACCTATCAATACATGTATATTCAATAAATATATAATCAATGTTGTTATTTAAAGTCACTCAGCATGATTGATATTGTAAAAGTTGATTCTTTAAAAGAAATATCAGTTCAAAAATGGTTCAATTCAGTTCAATATTTACTGACATGATGAACTAAAATTCCATTGATTAATGCTTCTCCTTATATAAATGGTACACTTTACTTTTTCTGTTGTTCTCGCTTCTTTTTCTTGACAGAATTTGTCAAGTACACCAGTCTACATTTCTACAATAATCAGTTTAGTTTTCAACCATTGTGCAATCTGATTAAAATACAGATCTATATTTCATTTCGTCTTTTTTTAAATATTTCCATGGCCTCTACTATTTGAAGATCTGACCGGTTGTAGTGGAGGGTTACGTCAGAGGTCATAAAAGCGGCTTTTAACCCAATGACGTCAGATATTTGATTAACCAATCAGAGTTGATGTTTCTAGAGGGTTACCCACAGTTCCGCGTACCTCACGGCAATAACTCGCTGTAACAGACCGTTTCATTAGCTAACCCCTCACGTCATCCAGAACACAGGATATATAACAACTCTGTCAGATCCTAGTGTAGTAAAGACAAGTAAAATGAAATTTTGAACTATAAAACCGAAACGAAATAGGATGTTGTCTTTAATCGCTGTCCATTTATTAAAAATATCGAAGCCTAATTAAATTCTCAGATTATTCACTGCCCATGTTTTTTTCCATGTTTTTTATCTCAGAAACTATTGTACGCTTAAGCTCACCATCTACTTTATCAATATATGCATCAAGAACTCACTAAGGTTGAGAAATCAGACAATCTCTGCGTGCAAACTTTGACATCACACAAGCAGACATCCCTAATCGTTGGGTGGCCGGTTAGGCAAACCCTTACATTTTTGTTCTGTATGCACTCCATGGGTGTTTTTCAGGAAAACCAGTATTTTTCTAGTAAGATTGGATGTTTCTACTTTCCATATACCAACTGTATAATTTTCAAGTTGATCCGTCATACAACTTCTGCGCCACTCTATCTCACTGAGCTGATTTCTGTTGCTACACCGGTGAGAAATCTCTGTAGTGCTGACGGTGTGAAACTTTTGTATTAACCACTTCGACCCAAACCATCAAGAGCTTATGGTGATCGTGCGTTCAGTGTTTTTTCACCAACCCTATGGAATTCCTTGCCTGGTTACTACAAAATTAATATCTTTCAAATGCTCTTTAAAAACATACCTTTTTCTAAAATATTATTCAACATAAATGGCTTATGTTTAGTGACCAATTAATGTTTTTACATGTTTATAAACTTTATGTACAGCGGTTTGGGATTTGTTAATGTAAATCGCTGTATGAAAAATTAATTATTATTATTATTAAAATTGCCATACTTTTATTGGAAATAACCACCCGATAAATACTTTTCTGGGAAAGTATTTTTAAGCTTTGAGAAAAATTTGAGCAAAAAATGCAAACCATGCACAGTTATCCTGTGTCTCTTACCTGCCAGTATCGTCTGCTTCAACAATAGCATAGCGATTGTGTCGTCTGCCCCATTTGGTACTGGAATCAGTAAAATATATCGTACCATCCTGAGCAATATCTAGATCGTTAAAAAACTTGGCTTGAGTTCCACTAATCATCTGAGTTGAAAGAACCAAAGAATGGACATCTCCTGAAGAAATATAATAAATTATATTGATCGATGGAACATTAATTGATATTAAAGGGCTGGAAGGGGGTTACTGGGTTGTAATCATCACACACCCTCCACTGGGCCTTTCACTGCTCATTTTTATATATGGATGTGGATGTTTGAAATAATATTGTATTCCTAATTAAATATGGGTTGTCATCATCACACACCCTCCATTTGGCCTTTCACTGCTCATTTTTATATATGGATGTGGATGTTTGAAATAATATTGTATTCCTAATTAAATATGCTATTCCTAATTAAATATGATATGTGATATTCCTAATTAAATATTGTATTCCTAATTAAATATTGTTTTCCTAATTAAATATTGTATTCCTAATAACATATTGTATTCCTAATTAAATATTGTTTTTCTAATAACATAGTGTATTCCTAATTAAATATCATATTCCTAATTAAATATCCTAAGGCCTCCTATGATAGTATACATATTTGATATTAATAAAGCCTTTTCCTTCAGTCCAAACGACTTGGTCAGCCCCCAACAAGATAGAGGGAAGCTTAGATCACTAGCATCTATCTAATGAAGACCTGTAAAACAGAATGATTATTTTATTACATACCTGTGGCTACGTTAACTCTAAATAGACCCAGGTATGCGTCTGCTACAACAAGATAACCATTGTGATCTAGTCTCATACCTAATGGCCGTCCACATGTCGGTTCATCCTCAAAACCACCTACAATAATATATTAAGCTATATAAAGATACTTGAGGCTCTTGTTATTTTTATATCAGAAATCCAATCGGAGAGAGAGAGAGAGAGAGAGAGAGAGAGAGAGAGAGAGAGAGAGAGAGAGAGTTTAACATCCACTTGACAGAAACTAGTTCATTTTGAGACTAACATATAGTTCAACTTTTTTTCAATAATTCAGTTGTACGTAGGGGTCTTTAGCAGAGGTATAATATGAATATGAAAGCAAGCATAAATATGCTAATGAATACTGCTTTCATCTTATTTGGTCAATATTTCTATAATACTTTACCACAAGGGGGTTCACCAAGTTTAGCCAACACGGTTATTTGTCCTTTGTGAATGTTTAATATTTTACCATCCATCGTTCCAGTGTATACATGTTCTAAAAATAGACATCAATAAAACTATTAAAGAAAAATTATGTGAGAGCTACATCTGCCTATTGCAGGGCGTTTTTCTACCTTTAAACATTAAATATATTATTATTATTTAGACATCTTTTCACATGACAAGCCTATAATCACCTTTCTAGGTCATCAGATGGCTTAGATATTAAGTGGATTAGATTCAGACTGCCAAATCTATAATAAACGCTAATATGGCCATCCAAGCTGAACAATATAGCTGTCTAAGGGTAAATAATAACCACATAAGACAGTAATTATGGGTTTGCTACTCATTTTGTTTGCGATATGGGGAAAACAGTCTGAAAAAATCTCGAGCCACTTTTTTGACCAGCACTGGGATGGAACACAGAACCTGCTAGTTAAGGAGGCAGTACCATACTCAGTGAGGTAGCCACAGTGGCTCAGTGGGTAGGATGCCAGCTTGCTAGTCTGGAGGTTGACTGAGAAAGTTCATTGGAACTTTCTGACATGGTTCCCCCTTGTCAGTGGTACAGGATGGAGGGCCTGACAATGACAGCTGTCTAGTTGCTATACACATAAAAGACCACTTGGCAGTTGGAATTCAATATAAGAGTAGCCATAGCGCCACTGTCCAGACACAATTTCCATCATAGCACACTGTATGGCGTATGCCCGTCTTCATTATCCAAGTCGGAGTAGAACAGTAGGATGTTAAACTCCATTTCATTTCCATACTCACTGAGCTACTGTGGCTCAATCATACTAACTGTGCCTGTGCATCAACATATGTAAATTATATAACAACCTTACCTCCATCTACACATATTGATTCCGGTCCATTTACTTCTCCAATATACACACGTTGAGCACTACGTAACTTGGTGTTGGGAGTTAATGCCCCTGTTAACTCGGGAGCTTTTTGAACACTGAAACAAAATAATATTACCTAGTTTGACTTCATTATAAATGTTCCTAAGATTTCATTTCCTGAGAGAGAGAGGAGAGAGAGAGAGAGAAAGAGAGGGAGAGAGAGAGAGAGAGAGGAGGGTTTAACGTCCACTCGACACAAACCAGGTCATTATTTCAATAATTCGCTTGCGTGTAGGAGTCTTTAGCAGTGGAAGGAAACCGGATGACCCAGAGAAAACCTACGAGGCTAGTCATACGACCTTCCTCCTTGTCTAATAAAAGTGGGGGATTGAACCCATGCCACTTGACTCAGTGACATACCTTATGATCTAAAGCACACACGTTAGATCATTCAGCCACCTAAACCTTGATTGGCAACAGAGATTAGAAATTGTCATATCTAAAATGAGCTTCCGTATGGCAGTAGAATATTTCTTAATATTCAAAGCAAATGTACCTGAAAGTTTTAGGTTCTATTGGAGAAGGAATGATATGTAGTATAATTATACCTGAAAGCTTTAGGTTTTATTGGAGAAGGAATGAAAGTTTTAGGTTCTATTGGAGAAGGAATGATATGTAGTATAATTATACCTGAAAGCTTTAGGTTTTATTGGAGAAGAAATGAAAGTTTTAGGTTCTATTGGAGAAGGAATGATATGTAGTATAATTATACCTGAAAGCTTTAGGTTTTATTGGAGAAGAATGATATGTAGTATAATTATACCTGAAAGTTTTAGGTTCTATTGGAGAAGGAATGAAAGCTTTAGGTTTTATTGGAGAAGGAATGAAAGTTTTAGGTTCTATTGGAGAAGGAATGATATGTAGTATAATTATACCTGAAAGATTTAGGTTCTATTGGAGAAGGGATGACCAGTATTATAATTATAATCAGCAGAATTACAGCAAGAATAACTGATGCTAAAAACTCACACCAACTGGAAATAAAGAAAACAAAAATTAGTACACATGTATACATTTAGGCCTATATTGGTGTCAAGAGTCTATCACGTATAATTATCCGGCAATAGTCTTTTGAAATAGGCATACAAAATATTTCACTTTAGCCTTTATTTAGCATGACCACTTGACGTCATGTCGTCAAAATGACATAGACCGGTTAAGAGTTAAGTCTGAGAATGCCTTGTGAATTCGGGGCCTGGTCTCTTTGAAAATTAGTTGCATGTACCTGATTTTATTAGGTAGGCTATAAAATGTCCCATCATATTTTATATTTCATCATTGCTTGATAAAGATTAGTGAATAAAAGTTGAAACGTCGTCCAGTAGTAAACAGTAAGTCTTTCCTGTGTCTTTTCAGTTCAACTATTAAATGCCACTGAATTTATTTATGATTTCAAGGGTCATTAATTGTGGTCTGAACCCACAAAAGCCGATGTCATAGCCCAAGTGCATAATAACTTTACTAGTAAAGCTTGATCAGTTTACCCGCTCGATCTTTTAGAGTCTGTATTTGTAGTAGTATCTCTTTCATCTGTGGAATCCGGTTCTTGTTGCTCATCTGTTCGTCTTTGTCGAACGTTACTTCGCTGCTCTTGATACATCTTTATTTTTGTTTACAAACAGGAAAGATGGGAGTTACCTCCCTTGTCGCACTAATGGGAGGTAACTGCATAATATCTGGAGGCAGACCACCATTAATTTCCCCATTGAAGTTCAATGTTAATTCTGGCCTCTTTGCCCGGCTCCAACTTATCCCCAAATTTTCGTTGGGCTGAATGCTTTTCACTACAGACAGAGAAACAAATGGTCATGTATTTGCACCAAACTTAGTATGAGGTTGACCACCAAAATCTTGAGATACACAAACTTGAAGAAGCATACTAAGAACATGCAACTATTCGCCGCACATATCACCGTAACCAACCTGTAAACTCTGTTATCTTTCCGCCTCTAAATCATGAATATTTACCAAAACCTGGCAGGAAATGTTAATTCACACCCTCTTCGTCCATTCTTGAACAAAAAATGGGCATGAGAAAAGCAAAAAGGCAATCTAGAAAAGAGACAGAGAGAGAATTGCTATAAATAGACGAACTACAATTTTTCCCTAATCCTAACCTACAATCTCGACAATAATCACGTGCCCTAACCTTATTTACATCACAGCGACCGTGACGAAATTTGAGCTGGCATTAACAAATAGGTTTAGCCCTTGTTCAGTTTTATCACACCGTTGGTAAAACAACATTAAAAACGAAATAAAGCCCCCAAAAGATAGACCATGACCTATTACCTCGCCACAGTTTATTAAGACAGAGGGCAGAAGAGAGCGGGTAAAAAAAAGAGTGGGAAACATTATCGGGACCTTATCAGAGCCCCGATACACCAAGTCTTTTGAAGAGAGAGAGAGAGAGAGGGAGAGAGAGAAATGGGGTTTAACGTCCACTCGACACAAACCAGGTCATTTTCATTTTGGGACTAATATATGGTTCAATTTCATTTCCATAGTTCGCTTGCGCGTAGGGGTCTTTAGCAGTGGGGGGTAACCGGGGGACCAGGAGAAAACCCACGAGGTTGGGCGGGCGACCCTACTCCTTGTCACGTACAACCGGGGAATCGAAACCTTGCCAGTTGACTCAATGACAGACTTTTTAATACAGCGCGCACGTGCTAACCATTCAGCCATCCAACCCCCTCATATCAGTAGACACCAGTGAATACTCAATTGTGATCACGTGGTGGTTTTTCGCATTTTCTTAGTGTGCAGTTCAAAATTTCGCGGAACAATTAGGGGATCTCGCGGCACACCTTTTTGCCGCAGCACACCGGTTGAAAATCACTGAGTTAGTTGTTCGTATAATGTGTTTGTATGTATGAAATAGCTTTAGTGATTATGTAAAATTCATATATCCTGATGAGCTCGAAATTAAAAACACTACTGACAGTGACAATTACGCGTCCTACTTGGATCTGAGTCTCGATTTTGACAATTGCCATAAACTTAGTGTTAAACGTGATGACTTTGATTTTCCGATTGTTAACTTTCCATTTATTAGTAGTAACATTCCAATATCACCAGCTTATGGAGTGTTTGTGTCTCAACTAATTCGTTACGCGAGAGCTTGTTCATTTTATTCTGATTTTTTAAGTAGATCGAGGCATTTGTCATCTAAGCGTCAACTACAGGGATACTTGCGAACTAAACTTATTAAAACCTTTAAAAAGTTTTATGGCCGTCATATTGACTTGATTGGCAAATATAACATGCCTCTCTCGGCTATTATTCTAGATATATTTAATTGACGCGTATAATTTAATTTGACGCGTATACTATCTCCCTGATAATGTCTGTCTACTACATCGTTAACACTGTTCATCACGTGCATTTTGCATACCGATAGTCCATTGGCCAATCACGCTATTTTACCGAGATTTCGCCTAATAGTTTGGATGCAGCTATGGCGGGTGTGGCGCCAGGCAGGGTAAGCTTACTCTTCCGGACACCTGTTACCACTGTTTGTCGTGTATTTTGTACACGGTGAACAGTCCATATGCTGATTACACTATTTTGCCTTATTACACTATTTTGCCTATACCGTTTTTTTTTTTTTTTTTTTTTTAGGACTTCGAATTTCGTCTAATGGTTTGGATTGTTCGTACTTGGTTTTATTTTATTTATTTAACGTCCGTTTCTACAGAAGTAATATCGCAGACAATTACATGTTACATGTACATAGTGCAGTGATTCTCAACCAGTGTGCCGCGGCACACAGGAGTGCCGCGACGCCCGCGAGATCCCCTAAGTGTTCCGCGAATTTTTGAACTGCTCACTAAGAAAATGCGAAAAATCACGTGATCCCAATTGAGTATTCACTGGTGTCTACTGATAAGTTCATAACTGTATTTTTCTTTATTTAGTTCGAGTCATTCTATGTGTCCATGACTAGTCTCTGTCTACGGTTGTATGCCATCTGACTTACCTATTTTTTTTATTTTGCAAAAGTCAAATATTTTTCATATATATTTAACCAGATGCGCCGCTATATTTTCATGTGTTCCAAAGGTTGAGAACCACTGCCATAGTGAATTATTTATTTACAAGGTGATTAGCGAAAAGAATTGTATTGAATAATGAAAATCGTACGTCTGATAAACGAAGCTAAATAAATAAAATAAAACCAAGTACGAACAATCCAAACCATAAGACAGAATTCGAAGTCCTAAAAAACGTTATAGGCAAAATAGTGTATTAAAGCAAAATAGTGTAATCAGCAAATGGACTGCTCCTCGTGTACAAAATACACGACAAACAGTGGTAACAGGTGTCCGGAAGAGTAAGCTTACCCTGCCTTGCGCCACACCCGCCATAGCTGCATCCAAACTATTAGGCGAAATGTCGGTAAAATAGCGTGATTGGCCAATGAACTATCGGTATGCAAAATGCACGCGATGAACTGTGTTAACGATGTAGTAGACATTATCAGGGAGATAGTAATAGTATACGTGTCAATTAAATATATCTAGAATAATAGCCGAGAGAGACACGTTATATTTACCAATCAAATCAATATGACGGCCATAAAACTTTTTAAAGGTTTTAATAAGTTTAGTGCGCAAGTATCCTTGTAGTTGAAGCTTAGATGGCAAATGCCTCGATCTACTTAAAAAATCAGAATAAAATGAACAAGCTCTCGCGTAACCTCTTAAATTCGGCGTTTGACCTGTCAAAATGAAATGAAGTGGTGATTAACGTCCGATATTTCTACTCGATTGGGCTAGCATTTGACCTGTACAAATAGATCCTGAATTTACTCAAGAGATTATTTTTATTTTCTGATATGATATTAAAGATTTCTAGCAGTTGTTAGAAAACTCCAATACAATTTCCCCCCACTAGAGATTTATTTGATTTTATTTATACCCGGTGTTTTCTACCTCCCGAACTTTTTATGCATTGTATTATAAGATAAGATAAGATAAGATTTTATTGTATCAAGACATCCATTAAGGACAGCATACAATATGAACATGTATATAAAGATATAGTATAACAGATAATAGATATATACATGTATTTACAAACAAGACAAATGATAATTTTACATAATTACACATTTACTAACAGGACAAACAGTATAATAATCATCTCAGAATACATATTTACCACAAACTGGTCTGATAATGACACGACTTTCAACCAATCAATTAAAGGGGCATTATGTAAGATTTAGATAAAAAGCTGGCCGTTCAAAAATAGATACATGTAATGCAAAACAAATATATTGAAAATTTCATTCAATTACCTTATTTTGAGCGAAGATGTGTGCATGGTTCGTAACTGGTCATTCGAGTCTTAGCCTCGCTTCTTCATTTTTAAATTAAATCCCCAAATGACCGAATCTACTTAAAATCGGAGCCAGCCGATGGCATCGAGAGTTGATTATGGTCTTATCATGTTAATTAATGTCTAATTAATAATTTAGGTAACATATAAGTCCCAAATTCTCAATGGGCATATTTATCTCTTACATAATGTAATTATTTTCGCATTAGGATACAATGGATAAAGAAAATCGGCGAAATACACTCAAAGCAAAAGAAACATCTAAGTTTGTCCGCAGAGGGTTTCGTTTGTATGGCTTAACTTCCGTCGGGCTTAACGTTCGCTTCAGTCGAGACTGATATCGCTGAGTTAAGATAAAATTGATGAGATTTTATTGCAGCAATTCGCACATTAAGAAAATATAATAATATATAGTATTAAAAAAACAAAAAAACAACAACAGTAATTGGTGTAATGAAAAAAAAAAATATAGAAAAAACAAAGTGTCATTTACAATAGAACTATCTACATTTACATAATAGGGCTCATTTTGGTGAAATACACAAAAGTAACACGGCAAATTTGAATTATATTTTCCAGTACGTGGTATAAATTACAATGAAAGACCCCCATCAGGGGGTGACTTACTCGCGTCAAATTCCAAATTATTGGCCAAATCATGGACATATTTTTGTTAATAACGCAGTAATTAACATCAAAATCAAATCAATACAAGTTTTATTGTTTAGATTATAAAGATTCGGTTAGCTAGTGTTATTCTAAGCAAACAAAATATTTAATGTATTCCCAAGCACTGTTTGTGAGCTAATCGGGTTTATTGTTTACCGGATATTTCTAGGGCGCATGCGTGAATATATGGCGGACACTTCGAATGTTTTGTTTTGAAAGAAAATTTATTTTCTCATCGTTTAGATACGACCGTATGTTACCTATTTAAACATATTTATAATTTATTTATTGTTATGTTTTTCACACAAATCGTAGGCTCCGAAATTATCGTAAATCATAAACGTTAGATTTAACGATTCTGTCACTCATTTCAGTATGAATATCAATGGTTATGATGAGTAGGCTATCCAATTCACTCACAAAACGTACAGTTGTAGACTGTACGGTATTATACAAATTAACTAAGTCATTAGTGTAGGTCTATCACTTTTTAGTGGTGTGGGGAGTGGCTAAGATAACTATCCTACCTATTCTGTCAATTCACCAGAATCCATTCCATTTGGACTTGGGAGTGGACCTTATTTATTTGAATCACACTCAGACTCAGAGTCTCAGCGTACAAGTTGTTGACTTACTAGCGTACAACCCAGTACAGGGATCTAAAATTTATGTTAGTTTGATAGGTCTTGGCATACTGCAAAAAACATTTTGGTCAAGATGTTGGTCCATGTATCAATAGACTCAATAGTTGGACAGTGCATTCACAATTAAAACCAATTTCGTCAGAGAGAAAGAGAAATGGGGCTTAATACTTAATGTCCACTCAACACAAACTAGGTCATTTCGTGATTAACATATGGTGCAATTTTATTTGAATAATTCACTTGTTAGTAGGAATCTTTAGCAGTGGGAGGAAACCAGAGAAAACCCAGAGGCTGGACAGACGACCCTACTTCTTGTCACATACAACCAGGGAATCGAAACCACGCCAGTTGACTCAATGACAAACCTTATGATACAATGCGCACGCTAAAAATAAGTCTCCTTTTTAGTTGAGCATTAGCAATTTTGACAGTCGGACATTGACAGACAGTTGCTTGGCTTGTTGATATACCTCGTCGGGTCATGTAGTTGAAATAAACCTTGGCATAGAAACATAATTCATATAGTAAGCTGTGGTGGCTTGATGAGGACAGCTGTCTAATCATTTGGATGAAACAAAAAACAGAGGTCCCGTGTTCACATAAAAGAAACCTGTATACCGTTTGTCTATCGTCATTTGCCCAGTCGGTGCAGAAAAGTGGAATTTCAAACCCCATTTCATAATTCATATGTAGACTGTTAATGAGTATCATTTTGTATTTTATTTTTAGGAAAAAATGTATGAAGAAGAAAATGACCAACCTAAAGGCTTGGGGTAAATATTCTCTTTTTTTCATGCTAGCATCCAAGGTGCCAAAAGGGGGAATTTAAATGCCGGTTAAATGATTCCCCGTCTTCAAATATTTGTATTTGAACAGTCAACCCCAATATATCTTTCCTTCTGTTGGTACTCGCTGACTAACCTGAATGCCCTGGATTCAGTCTCTGTGTTGACCAAGAAATTATATTTGGATTTTCCTGTCTGGGTTGGTTTTGTTGCAGGATGAAAGGCCTGGTGAGAAAAAGAGAATCTAGTGCTCCGGGTGGTACAAAACAAAGAGATCCAATTTGCAGAGAGAAACTGAAGAAGGGTCCTGACAAAATTTCCCTCATAGCACACTGTATGCAAGCTATTTTGTTTCGTTTTTTACAGTTCAAAATTTCGTTTTACTTGTCTTTACTACACTCTGATCTGGAAGAGTTGTTATATAACCCGCTTTCTGGTTGATGTGAGAGATTAGCCAATGAAATGGTCTGTTGCAGTGAGTTCTGGGCGTGCGATGCACGGAACTGAGGGTATCCTGCTAGAAACATCAACACTTATTGGTTGATGACATGTCTATCATCTTAGGCTCAAAAACTGCTTGTATGACCCCTGACGTGACTTCCCACTACAACTGGTCAGATCTTCATGTAGTAGAGGCCATCGAAAGTATAAAAAAAGTGAAAGGAAATATAGATCTGTATTTTAATCCGATTGGTACTAATGCTATAAATCATTGTCCATGTTATCTATTTATCAGTTGGCTCGTTGTTTATTAATTGTGAAATATTACATTACAGGAAAAAAGATGGACGGCGATCATCAGGGGTAATTAATTTTTTAAATTTTTTTTACACCATTATTTGTTTTTTGAAAGATGTCATTCAAATGACCTTTAGTTTGACAATAGAAAGAGATCAGTATAGTCAAATATCTGAGAAATTTTAGGGGGGCGGGGGAATTTTATCTGTCCATTTGACTAAAAATTTATACACAGTGTTTTAAACCCATTGAGTTTCCTCAATTTTCGGTACATGTAACATGAACAGCTAAAGTTATCTGATTTATCGGTACATTTTTTATTTGATGAATCAGTAGACGTACTGGTACATGTTTGATTTGATTAGTCAGTAAACATACATAAATATAAAATTGTTTTATATTGGCGCTAGCAAGAACTATTAATTTATTGGGTTTCAATATTAATTAAAAATGTGATATCTTCAAGTGCTAAGATGTATAGTTCCCATGCTATACATCATCTCACTAAATCTCGGAGTGACAAAGGACAGTGACGTAGAATTAAATATGATAACTTCTACATGTGTGCAATACTCTGATGATATAGAGAGAGAGAGAGAAATGGGGTTTAACGTCCACTCGACACAAACTAGGTCATTTCGGGACTAACATATGGGTTAATTTTATTTACATAATTCGCTTGCGCGTAGGGGTCTTTAGCAGTGGGAGGAAACCGGAGGACCCGGAGAAAACCCACGAGGTTGGACAGGCGACCCTACTCCTTGCCACGTACAACCGGGGATTCGAAACCACGCCAGTCGACTCAATGACAGACTGTATGATACAGCGCGCGCACGCTAACATTCAGCCATCCACCCCCCCCCCCCACCCCCCCGATGATATAATTAGCTGTTGTGAGTATATGTTTTATTGCCTAACAACCTGTTTTTGTTTTTGTTTTAGATATTAAAAATCAAAAGATCATGTTTGACAGAACTGGATGCCACCCAGGTTCAAGAGAGGGTAAGTGTATTTCCATATGTTTCCATATATTTTTTTCCCATATAATTACTTTGTCTAATGTAACCAGTATGGCCAATGTAACCAGTATGGCCAATGTAATCAGTATGGCCAATGTAATCAGTATGGTCAATGTAATTAGTATGGTCAATGTAATCTAATTTAATGACTTGTCAATGTAATCATCATTTTCAATGTAATCACACCATTAATGTATGTAATCACTATTGTCAACATGTAATCCCGATGGTCCATGTATTCATTATGGTCAGTATAAATCACTTTAGGTCAATGAATTTTTAGAGTGCTGTATTTATAGAATAATTGATATTTATATTTATTTAGAATTTAAAGTGATGTATTTATAGAATAACAGCTTTCTATATTAAATGTATTACATGTAATTGTTATCCCACTGTCTACAATATCACCCTAGCTGGAAGCAGACTAACGAACGAACCGATTATTACAGTTTCAATCGGATAGCTATAATATTGTATTTATTTAGGGTGCTGTATTTATAGAATAATAGATATTTATATTTATTTAGAGTGATGTATTTATAGAATAAAAGATATTTATATTTATTTAGAGTGATGTATTTATAGAATAAAAGATATTTATATTTATTTAGAGTGATGTATTTATAGAATGAAAGATATTTATATTTATTTAGAGTGATGTATTTATATTTATTTAGAGTGATGTATTTATATTTATTTAGAGTGATGTATTTATATTTATTTAGAGTGATGTATTTGTTAATGGTAAAAGAATATCAAGACGAGTCAGTTTTGCTGAGAGATGTAGTATCAAGTAAGTATACTATGCGCCGTCTGCATAAGAAAATATCTTAACCAACCATGACAGCTGAAACACAATCGTTGTGTTTAGTTATGTCACAATTCTACTCACACCCCCTCCATTTTTAGGACTGACATAACTGTGACAGAACTCAATTCTGCGTCACTTGATTGCAATCTGCCATTATGTTTTTATACACCCAACGGATCCATTCACTTGATCTGATATGTGCGTTTTGTTGTTTGTGCTGTCTATATTGTGTCCTGATTGAGGGAGGGCTCATTTTAAGAATGTATTTGTCGTTACTGTCCATTTGCCATGCATATTGAAACCAAAGTAAATTCTTAGATTATCTTCTGCCAATTACTTTTCTGTCGTTTAGTTGCAGAGTCTGTTGTACGTTTAAACCTCTCAATGTTCCCAAAACTGCCTAAACAATCGATCAAGAAATAACAACCGCTCTCTAACTAAAGATTTCAGACAATAATCTGTCGAGTGCCAGTAGATGATGCTCTGACATTTTTGCCCAGTGCTCGCCTCATGTGTGTTTTTCAGAGAATCCGGTATTTTTCTTAAAAGATTGGGCATCTCTACCTTCTATTTAAACCATATTTGCCATACTTTTATTGGAAATAACTACCCTATAAATACTTTTGTGAGAATGTATCTTTAAACATTGTTTTGGTTAACACGTTTGTGTTGTATCATAACGTCTGTCATTGAGTCAACTAGCGTGGTTTCGATTGTACGTGGTTGTATGTTAAAAGGAGTAAGGTCGTCTGTCCAACCTCATAGGTTTTCTCGGGGTCCTCCGGTTTCATCCCACTGCCAAAGACCCCTACATGGAAGCGAATTATTGAAAAAAAATTGAACCATATGTTAGTTCCGAAATGACCTAGTTTGTGTCGACTGTCGAGTAGACGTTAAATCCTCTCTGTCTCTCTCTCTTTCACTCATATAAAATACTTAAGCCTACTTGAGAAAAAGCTATTGTCTAACATATGTCGAATTGCTTAGCAACCTAATTTTATGTAATATTTCCACATATTGGTTAACATGAATCAATTTAATTTTTTTTTTTTTTTTTTAGAGAATTCCCAAAACATTCACCAAGAGTATGGCAGGACAGCCCAGATACTAAAAATGGTACTGTATTCTTTACATTTCTTAATTTTACTCGCATGAACCCGGAATTGAGCAAGACATCATCGCAACCATCTTGAAATCTTGACTTCACATCAAAAATAAAAGCGCAGTTGTCCAAGGAACAAACATGCCAAGTTTCATTTCGATCTTACTTGAATTGGTGCATATTCCCGAAACAATGGCTCGAGAAATCTATCTCTGGCCATTGCTGGATTGACTTTTGATACTTGAGCTTTTGAGGGAGTGTGTCTATTCTTCCCGTTCAATCAAATTTATCCCAAGTACAGCAACATGACAGCCCTTTTGACAGCGAAATTTGAAATAAAATTGAAGAAACGGTAGTCCCGAAATGACCTAGTTTGTGTCAAGTGGACTTTATACTCCATTTCTCCTCTCTGATCCAGTAGCTTTGTATGACCGTTCTTGAACATTTGAAATCGTTTCAGGTCAGGGCCCTGTTTCTCAAAATCTTAGCTACAGATAAAATCCAAATTTTAGTAGATACTTCAATTTTGATTGGCTAAGCACTAAAATCAATCTCCAATTAAATTACTAAAATTTGGATTTTTTCTTAGTTAAAATTTCGTGAAACAGGCCCCAGGTTTCTGCTTGTTAAACAGTTGCAAGTGTTGGCAACTTCTTAGCAACTGAATTTGGACTCATGTCGATGGCGATTATGTAACTTTTAATTTATTTATCATGTGATCATCAAAATGGCGAATACCTTACTATTTTATTATCGACATTTGAAAAGTAGATGCCTTCGTTCGCTTCCATTTTTCCTATTTATTAAGTCACATGTTTCTTATCGTTTGATGTTATTTCCATGGAAATGAGTTGATGCCATTTGTAAGAGGGCTTACCGCTAGTTGAATCAAGTTACAGAGAGTTAAACATGGACAACTCGCTTTATCTGACTGGAACTAGCTGCTTTGAGTTATAAGAGTAAGTGGTGCTCAGGTTTCAGTTGAAGCCAGTTGCTCCCAGTTACCGAAACGCCAGATGATCTTAGTTGTAAGGTTGATATAAGTTCTTCTTTAAGAGTTTCAAAGAGATTTAAGAACTGAATTGTGTAAATTTTATTTCAGATAATGCAGATGATACTGTGGAGTTGTAAGTACTAGGTTTATTTATAAAACATCACATCTCATCAAGTGTTCTATTAATAATTAGTTCTATTAACGAGTTTTCTATTAATGATTAGTTCTATTATCAAGTTTTCTATTAATAATTAGTTCTATTATTAAATAGTTCTATTGACATGTTTTCTATCAATAAATAGTTCTATTAACAATTAGTGTTCTATTATTACTATTAACAAGTTTTTTTTATTAATCATTAGTTTATTAACAATTGCACATTTTAAAGCATGACAAAAAAGTCTTTAATTTAAACTGTTGTTATCCCTCTAAAAATGGGTCAAGCCTGACAAACTTGATTTATAGCTACTTACAGTACATTTATGACATCAATTACAAAATCTAGGGGTCACTGTGGCTAAGTGGGTAAGACGCTGGCTTGCTAGCCTGGAGATCGCGTGTTCGATCCCTGCATTGGCAGAGAAAGTTCATCGTGATTTTGACATGGTTTCCCCGTCAGTGATGCAGGAAGGTTTGCCTGACAAGGACAGCTGTCTAGTCTTTTGGATGAGACAAAAAAATCGTTTCCTGTGTAAATATTGATGTGCACGTAAAAGATCCATTGGCAGTTGGAAATCGATATAAGAGTAGTCATAGTGTCACTGCCTGAGCAAAATTTCCCTCATAGCACACTGTATGGCGTATGCCTGTCTTCATTACACCAATCGAAGCAGAACAGTAGGACGTTAAACCCCATTTCATTTCATTTATAACAAAATCTAGTAACGTAAAAAATTTACTGGAAAATTATTCCTGATTCCATGAACACTTCACAGCTTGTCTGTTTTTCTGTGTAACACAAAATAAACTACAAACACAAATTGAGGTGATTACAATGTCTGATTGTAGACAATAGTTTTCATCAATAGAATCATGTTTTTTATATTTCCAGAACGGAGGATGATGTTGGACATATATCAGGTAAGAAGTTTATGTTCTTCCTTAGCAACTATCAATCTTAATTTTTATTCTAATGTTCTTAACAAAATGAATATTTTAATAAAATCAGTAAAGATACGAAAGTCTAAATACAGACTAGTAAATACTAAATCAATGTTAATTGAAAAGTTACAGAGCTTTTCTATCAATGGGAGGCCGGGTTGGATGGCCGAATGGTTAACATGTGCGCGTTGTATCGTAAGGTCTGTCATTGGGTCAACTGGCACGGTTTCGAGTAGGGTCGCCTGTCTAACCTCGTGGGTTTTCTTCGGGTCCCCTGATTTCCGTCACCACTGCTAAAGACCCCTACGTGCAAGCAAATTATTGAAATAAAATAGAACCATATGTTAGTCCCGAAATTACCTAGTTTGTGTCGAATGGACGATAAACCCCAGTTCTCTTTCCCTTGTCTTTAGTCCGCTGTGTTTAAATTATACTTTGATGAATGGAATACTCTAAGGCCTCTCTTCATCCAAATCTGGCAGTGAATCTGTATCTTTACTAACCAACGATTGGAATAAACATATTGATTTTATTTTCCGGAGCTAAAACAATTAATTAATATGATATTATATTTCAGGTCTGGATCAACTATTGAAAGGTCCAATACAAACTCTCTCGGCTAACGATTCAATGGTTCGTATGATTTACTTACACTTTCATTAATTATTTTTCATGATTTTGTGAAAATTTCATTAGTCGACAGCTACAACCAAAAATAAATTTTGATTGTCACTAATGTTTCTGTTTTTGTTAAACTTTTCAACATGTGAACTGTGATTGAAACGTGTTTGTTCGAGACGTCGATGATCTTCACTGCAATTGACGTTACTCAGCGCGCCAGGCTGCGCTCTTTATCAACGCATGAGCCGAGTGATCCAACTCCTACCTATGGTTGTACGCTTTTGCTTTCATTAAGTCTGATGGCCGCCGAAAACAATGGCCCGTGTCAAAGTGTTTCCATCGTAATTTAAGTTTGCTATTACATGAGATTACTGCACTTTCAAATAGAAACTCATCCATCTGTCCATCTGTCAAAAAGGTCGCACGAAAAAATTTGAGTTTGAAAAATTTACCTTTTGCCGACCACCTGTAACACAGCAGACTGAGTTTCCATGCCACTAGGTTCATGTCTAGTTCCCTGTTATCGATGAAGACAAAATAATTTATACAGAACTAATAGCACTATAATACAGGAAGAACAGACATCCATTTGAAAGTAGAATAACAGATGTCACCTTTGGTATATCATTTCTCAAGAAAGAGGAGACAAATTTTATTTCAGTAATTAACTGGAGGACCCGGAGAAAACCCACGAGGTTGGACAGGAGACCCTTCTCCTTGTCACGTACAACAGGGGAATCGAAACCACGCTGACTAACTCAATGACAGACCTTATTCAATGCGCACACGCTAACCATTCGACCACCCCCCAAAAGTAGAACCAAAAATGTCACCTTTGGATGTCATTTCTCAGGAGAGTGGAGAACCATGAACCTATGATGAAACTCTCCATTAGTTCCATGTGTTACTGTTTGATTTATTTTTATTTATTAGAGTTATGGTCTCCAGGTTCCCGATCATTTATCTGTATTGAACAACACACGATTAGATGTGGAGGATATGGACATGACAGCTTGTTGTGGTGATATGTCCGTTCGTCATGACAACCATAATACTAGTATCCTAGCAACATATCAACAACCAGCACCACCTCCAGAGAATAAAATAACAGCTTTGTCCTTTTTATCACATCTGGCATCAGGAATGGAGTAAATATCAATCAATTTTATTTTATGTATAACCCCAGGGATCACAGAAAACAAATCTTTATTAAAGCCCCAACCAAAAATAGCATTCAATATAGTGATTAAAGCCCAAACATGCCAGAATAAAGGTTAAATATCAAGATTAAAGCCACAACATGCCAGAAAAAAGGTTACATATCAAAATTAAACCCCAATGTGCCAGAATATAGTTTAAATCCCCCGCTACATGTCAGAATGAAGGTTAAACATCGAGATTAAAGCCCCAATGCGCCAGAATACAGGTTAAATATTTATGTTTTAAAGACCCGAATGTGTCAGAATAAATCTCAAAATAGAGGTTGAATATCGAGATTAAAGCCCCAAAATGTCAGAATAAGGGTTAAATATCGAGATTAAAGCCCCAGAATGCCAGAATAAGGGTTAAATATCGAGATTAAAGCCCCAAAATGCCAGAATATAGTTAGATATAGAGATTAAAGCACAAATGTGTCAGTAGAAAAGTTAAATATAGGGATTAAGACCATATAAATAATCACAAGTACTTTTATTAAAGGATGTATTGGTTGTCCATGAATAATATTTCCGTGTTTTTGTTGTTTCCAATCCCAGTGTTTGATTAATTGTTCTGCATCTTTGGTTGTAGTGTTTCCAGTAATGCAGTACCTGAACCTAGACGACGTGGTGCTGGCTTGATGTTTGATGCAGGTAAATTATGAGACCAACATGTAATTTTATAATCTCGTCTTAAGCAGTGGGAGCAAACAGGAGGACCTGGAGAAAACCCACAATGGTTGGACTTGCAACCCTACTCCTTGTCACGTACAACCAGGGAATCAAAACCACGCCAGTTGACTCAATGACAGATCTTATGATCCAAAGCGCAGGCGTTAACCATTCAGGCCACCAACCATTCGGTCACCCAAACCACCCAGATTGTTTTGAAGGATTGTATAATAATTTGTAAAAAGGAAAAAATCTGACATATGTACCATAACTAAATACTTTTAAAAACAATTAAATTACCTTTCAAGTGGGGAATCGAAATCACGCCACTTGACTCAATGACAGACCTTATGATCTAAAGAGCACATGTTAGGCCACACTGATCAGCAGTGAATATTCACTAGGCCGCGACAATCACTGATAAGGATGACATCGATGCGACTTAATGAGCCACAAATATTACCTTTTTTCCTCCGACAAATTAAATTCTAAAACATTATTTTTATGTATTAAAAAAATAAATAAAGACATTTGAAGTATTTGTAGGTAAAAGTTATTTCCTATTTAGTGTAAATGGGTATTAAAATGTGTAAAAGGCTCCATTCAGCCCCAACAAGTAAGGTCTTATGTAAGCAATGCACACGCCATTAAGCCAATGATTGCCGCTGATGTTGAAGGTAGTCATCTTTTACAGAGATATTAGAAGACTTTTGTAATCCTCTGTGAAACAGATTGATGTTAAGCCTGTCCCCAATCTAATCTCTAATCATGAATTTGTTTTATTTAGATGATGATTTCGGTGAAATAACGGCAGGTTTTACAGGAATCATTGGTGCAGCCCTTGCAGAACAAAATGAAAATCAGAATAACCACGGTCTTGTAATTCCGACCAATGAACGTGAAGCCAGTATGGAAATGACTGACGTTCTGCCGACCAACATAATTCCAGGTACAAATGTCATGGCTACTGTGAACTGTGATATGTTGATAATAATAACTGAAATACCATATTTTATTCTAATTGTGAAATGTTGGTGGTGTTTCTTTTGTTTCTTTTTAAATCTTATTTTTGAGATGTTTTATATACCTTAGAGTTGTTATGGTTTTTGATTCATGATATTTTTATATTGGACTTTACCATAATGTAATAGCGCCATAGAGCAATACAATATTGGATTATAGGCGCTCTATAAATAAATTATTATTATTATTATTACATTAGTACAGAATATAAATGGTTCTGATTCCAGGATGACACAGTTCCTTCATTGATGTTTCTCAATAAAAAAAATAAATTCTATACCATCTAAAGAATTATTCTGATAATTAATTTGTGTTTGTATCAAAATATTTCAGGTCAGAACTCAAATCCTGCTTTGGTCATACCAACTATTCAACTTGCATCTGACAGCGACGCCAACATGGAACTGACGGAAGTATTACCCCAAAACCCAACCCTTGAAAAACGGCAAAGTTTAGCAGACATAACGTCAACAGTAAGGTTTTCACAAAGTGAACCTGGGGCCAACATGGAGCTGACCGATGTACTCACCAAAAATTTGATGTTGGACAAGAGACAAAGTCTGACTGACGTAACTCGTAGATTTTCATCGGGTGTATCGGCAAACATGGAATTAACGTGCGTGGACGGCATCGCAGATTTGACCAATCATTCTGACAAAGAAAATATTCAGATATCAATGGGATTGATAAATCCTGTTTCCGTTCCTCCTGCTTCAACCTTTGTTCCGCCAATCAGTGATGATAAAGAAAATAAACATCTTCTTTTTGATGTTAATTCCAAGCTAGATCTATCACTATTTCTAAATAAGGACGAAGAAGAAGATGATGAAGTTTCTTTCAAGGACAAAACTGCCGAAATCTCTGCTGGTTTAAAAACAAATAAAAAATTAATTGAATCTCAAATGAATGTAATGCCGCAGGTCAGCTTAACGCGAGATGCAGAATCAGTCATAAATTCTCAATCGAAATCGTCGTTTGACAATTCAACTTGCGTTACAAATCCTTTAGTACACTTAGAAGTTCACGATAAGAGTCTTTACACAAAAGCGGAAGAGAAATTTAACCAGTTACATAAACCAGCTGCTCAGTCAGCGGGTCTTTGTTTTGGAACCTCGGCCATGGATTTGGATTTGGACTTCAATGTCACCATGAACACGACGGACGCTAAATCACCGAATGCATCACAATCGAAAGACAGTCAACTTCGTACTTCCATTGTTATGGCAGAGAAACCAATAGCTAAAGAAGCTGTGCCAAAAATAGAAAAGTGCGTTGTTGATAAACGTCCATCTGCAAGATTGCCGAGCTTGTCAACTGTCTCACATGCTGATTTTAGTGGAATTGACATCCTTGATGTGGATACGCAAAATGACGTCTTTCTCTCTCAAGACAGGAAACCAGAAGAAAATGTGGCAAATGAAACTGAAAAAACAGAAACCAACCCTAACATTACTCGTTCAACGTTTGATCTGGTTAGAAAGGAGAACCCAAGTCTAAAACGAAGACTTCAGAGTTTGGATGCCACGCAAGCTGAAGCGAAGGCACGAATCAAGCAACATAGAACTGATTCGCTGTCTAAATCGCAAACATCAACACATGAAAATACAGGAGAAAATATGGAAGTAAATGAACAAGAAGAAAAAATGGCGACAGTAGAACCTGCTCAAGTTGAAAAGTGTGTTGAAATGACATCAGACGGTCAACAGCTGAATCGCGATACATCCAGTGTAAAGTCAGGTAATAAAAATATTGTATTCACATGAAATTTCTCCCCATTTTTAATTATTTAATATACTGTGATATTTGTTTTTATTTGTGTATATGAATACTTTATGTGATATCCTAACTTTAATTTGTCTCATACTATTCACCATGTGTTTGGCGCAATATATCCGGGTTGAAGCTGATGTGCCATAAAACCCTATTTCATTCTTTCATTCATCCATGTACTCTCTGGAGGCTAAAAGATGCTGTCGGAGTTATGACCCATGATCACTAGAAAAATTTTGTATCCACTCTAGGACCTAAAGTTATCATCCGATTGTCTTGAATTTCATACACAGTCGTTCTTTTTCAGGAGGGGGGGGGTGGGGGGGTGGATCGATGGCCGAATGGTTAGCACGTGCGCGCTGTATCATAAGGCCTGTCATTGAGTCAACTGGCATGGTTTCGAATCCCCGGTTGTATGTGACAAGGAGTAGGGTCGCCTGTTCAACCTCGTGGGTTTTCTTCGGGTCCTCCGGTTTTCTCCCACCGCTAAAGACCCCTACACGCAAGCAAATTATTGAAATAAAATTAAACCATATGTTAGTCCCAAAATGACCTAGTTTGTGTCGAGTGGACGTTAAACCCCATTTCTCTCTCTCTCTCTCTCTTTCAGGAAAAAACCTTAAATATAAAATCCATTTCTTTCCTTATTCTAGTTTCACCAAGTACCGATTTGGATATCGATGATGAACCAATGCCGGAAGCCATGTTGAAGACAGATGTTACCGTAACAACAACCTTGTCACATGATGTTAAAAATGGCGACCGGGTAGATCATCAGTCGACCAATAATACCTCAGATGTCAATACTAGTAACACTGTTTCCGTGACACGGACTTCAACATCTAATAATTCTTCTATATCTCACGGCAGTTCCAATAGTAGTTTGTCTTTCTCCATGTCTAAGGTCAGATATTGTTAATTGATAATTTAATGGGGGTGGGGGGGAGGGGGGCGACTGAATGGTTAAGACGTGCGCTTTAGATAATTAGGTCTGTGTAAAACTGTCTTCATTCGACTGAAACAGAAATGAAATAGAATTTGACGTATTACTGTTCTTGGGGTGGTGGGCACGCTATATCATAAGGTCTGTCATTGAGTCAACAGGTGTGGTTTCGATTTCCTGGTTGTACGTGACAAGGAGTAGGGTCGCTTGTCCAACCTCGTGTGTTTTCTTGGGTCCTCCGGTTTTCCCCAACTGCTAAAGACCCCTACATGCAAGCAAATTATTGAAATAAAATTGAACCATGTTAGTCCCGAAATGACCTAATTTGTGTTGAGTGAACGTTAAACCCCATTTCTCACTCTCTCCCTACTGTTCTGCTCCAACTGAGCTTATGATGACGGGCATACAGTGTGCTATGAGGCACAGCGGCAATTATCCATGTCACATGTCATAGGTAGGCCTACACAAACACTCTTAAATTGTTTTGGTCTTTATTTTGATCCACATCAATATCGAGATATAAAAAGTTTCATTTCTTCAGGACTAAAAATATCAATTGATCCTGTTGTTTTCTTGGTAAATATTGACCTGGTTGTGAATCGTGATATGAATTGCAATTCATGTCATATATTGACTGCAGTGACAATACCCACTGGGGTTCTTCAGTTTCCTCCCACTGCTAAATCAAAATGTGCCCTGTGTGAATGAATACTATAATGTTATAAATATATACCATCTCTGTTTGTGTTTTTATAGTCTATGTGTGGTCCATGGACGTTTGATATATTCTGTGAGAAGATGTCTATTAATTATATTGAGGCAGCTAGAAGAAGTAGTCTTGTTATCAGAGAGGTAAATTTTATCACTTCTTTACTAAATATTGATAGATATGTTCATATATTATAATGTAAAGGACCACCATTTTAACTCTTTATAAGTTTTAACTTAAAGGAGGCAAGCCTCTAACTCAGTAATATCCACAGTCTTCGACATTGCAATTACAACTTATTGGTCAATTTAAATCAACATTGATGTTGTTATCTTACCGTGAAAAGATGGGCTTCTGATATCCAATATTTAAGACAAAATGAAAATTTTAAAATTGGCGCACGAATTGCATGCTAGAATGGTTTCGTGCACCATTTGTAATGAAGCGACTCGATGAACGAGGCTAAACATATCCCACAGGAGAATACTACTGGTGTAGACTGGAATAACCAGACGTGAAAGACTGCCATTCAATTTGGACTCTTTGCATATGTCACCGAACATAATTGATTAGAAATTACAGTAAAAACAGAAACGGTTGAATGTAATGAGTTTATATACATTGATATTACATTATTATATGTTAGAATAGAGCAGAACTAGAAGCCAAATGGGTTGTTACTTGTAATCAGATTTGAGTGTCTTGTAAATGATTTCATTTTCGAAAAAAAGTAAAAATATATGCAACCCTCGTTGACACCCCGGACAACTTAGCTGCTGCAGGTGTATCTTTTGTTGCCGAGCAACCTATATTTGTAATTTTTTACAACTATAATTGTTTACATTCGAAATTGTTCACATCTGTAATTGTTTACATGTATTTGTAATTGTTTACATGTATTTGTAATTGTTTACATGTATTTGTAATTGTTTACATGTATTTGTAATTGTTTACATATATTTGCGTTGTAAATTGTTTACATATATTTGCGTTGTACATTGGTTCCATATGCCGGTATTATAATTGTTTACGTAGCCATTATGTTGTAATTGTTTACATGCCATTATATTGTAATTGTTTACATAAACATGTTGTAATTGTTTACATTTGTTTATTTCAGAAAGTAAACCTAGAAGTTTTACAGGAAGTTTTGGCAGCTAAAGTAATTAAAGTACCGGAATGTGAAATATTAGATTCTATGATAGAAACAGTTGAACAGCGTAACAAACAGTAGGTCTTTTATAAAAAGTATTCTATAGAAGAAACAGTTGTAACAGTATTCTATAGAAACAATTGTAACAAAAGGTATTCTATAGAAACAGTTGAAACAAACAGTAGGTCTATTATAAACAATTTAGAAACAGTTGTAACAAACAGTTTAGAAACAGTTGTATCAAACAGCTGGTCTGGTATAAACAGTATTCTATAGAAAAAGTTGAACATTGTAACAAACAGTAGATGTATTACGGTTTCTAATAGTAATAATATTAGAAACAGTATTCTGTAGAAACAGTTGTGAGAAACAATAGGTGTACAGTGTTTAGATTCTAATGATATTACAAACAGTATTCTGTAGAAACAGTTGTAAAAAAGCGGTAGGTTTATTATCTGTACAGGGTTTAGATTCTATGATATCAGCAGTTGAACATTGGAACAAATATTGGTAGTAGTGAATGGACATAATACTAAGTAATCAATTAATAGTACAGACTCTACAGAGTGACATTTTTATCAGGATTATATAGTCTTTATAAAGCAAATGATACAACATCCTCACACAGAGATCCATCCACTTCAGGGGGGTTGGATGGCTGAATGGTTAGCGTGCGCGCGCTGTATCATAAAGTCTGTCATTGAGTCGACTGGCGAGGTTTCAAATCCCCGTTTGTACGTGGCAAGGAGTAGGGTCGCCTGTCCAACCTCGTGGGTTTTCTCCGGGTCCTCCGGTTTCCTCCCACTGTTAAAGACCCCTACGCGCAAGCAAATTATTGAAATAAAATTAAACCATATGTTAGTCCCGAAATGACCTAGTTTGTGTCGAGTGGACGTTAAACCCCACTTCTCTCTTTCTCTCCATCTTCTTCATTCCTTGAGAATAGATCTCTGCCCTAAATTACCGCCATATCCAAATATTAGTATACTGTTTTGTAACGTGATTTCTTTCAGTTTCACAGAGACTAAATAAACATGTAACAAAATTCTCAAAGTATATTGTTTCACATCTGGCATTCACACAAAGAATAAAAAAATTATTCATTTCCATTAAATGGAAGCAGAATAAATACTTCTCAAGATTTTCGAAGTTTACTAAGTGTTTTCGACTAAAATCGTCGATTTAGGACTTTAAAATGTCGGTCAACTAGCTTAGTGTCTGTTCTTAAGCGGAGCTAACTGTAGGCAGACAGCCTAAGTTAAGAACGATGATACAATTATGATGAAATTATGGGACATTAACAAAAACTTCAATAATGATGATCAATCAGACATGCCTGAAAGAATGAAATTGGTTTTAAACCAATAATTGGATCTGTTGGTTTGCCTCTGGGAAAATTTTTAAAATATTAGTATACTGTTGGGGTACCTAATGACTCCCCACTCAGCCTGTTAACGAAAAGTTTAAAATGTGGTCAATTTGTTATAGAGTTAACGAAAAGTTTAAAATGTGTTCAAATTGTTAAAGAGTTAACAAAAAGTTTAAATTATGTAAGATTTGTTATTCTAGAGTTAACGAAAAGTTTGTAATGTGTTAAATTTGTTATTATAGAGAGAATGATAAATTGGAGGAGTTGAATGCTGAAGTCAGTAAATGTGAACCCCAGTTGTTCGCTTTGGTCAGAGATGCACCTCAGGTTCGTGTTTTTATTGTACGCCCATGTTGCGATTGGTTGTAGATTGTCGTCACTCCCGTCTGTCGGCTACAATTCCTTGTGAATGATCTAGAGACTAAAGTTATAATAAAAATGAAAATAAGACAACTTGTCTGCGATATCACCTTCGGTGGAAGCGGACTTAAACATTAAGATCAGCAACATAAATGAAATGAAATGAAATGTGGTTTAACGTCCTACTGTTCTGCTCCGAACTGGGCTACTGAAGACGGGCATACGCCATACAGTGTGCTATGAGGGAAATTTTGCCCTGACAGCAGCACTATCGCCTACTCTTATATCGAATTCCAACCGCCAAGGGATCTTTTACGTGCATTCCAATATATACACGGGACCTCGGTTTTTCGTCTCATCCAAAGGACTAGACAGCTGTCCTTGTCAGGCCCTCCGTTCTGCACCGTTGACAAGGGGTAACCACGTCGGGCAACATAAATGGCTTAGCTGCTGTGGGTGTATGTTTCGTTGCTTCGCAACCTATCTTACATACAATTTATATATTGTTTATATTTTTAGCGAGGTGAGTTACATAAAGAGATAGTTGGTTTATCTCAGGCATGTAGACGACTGGCGAAAAAACAGTGGAAAAGTTTACGCTGTGAAACCGAGAAAACTTTCCATCAAAGATTAAAGGTAAATCTAAATTCAATTTATTTTTATATGATAAATGATAAGTAATTGTGGTAAATGATAAGTAATTGTGGTAAATGATAAGTAATTGTGGTTAATGATAAGTAATTGTGGTAAATGATAAGTAATTGTGGTAAATGATAAGTAATTGTGGTAAATGATAAGTAATTGTGTGGTAAATGATAAGTAAGTGTGGTAAATGATAAGTAATTGTGGTTAATGATAAGTAATTGTGGTAAATGATAAGTAATTGTGTGGTAAATGATAAGTAATTGTGGTTAATGATAAGTAATTGTGGTAAATGATAAGTAATTGTGTGGTAAATGATAAGTAATTGTGGTTAATGATAAGTAATTGTGGTAAATGATAAGTAATTGTGTGGTAAATGATAAGTAATTGTGGTTAATGATAAGTAATTGTGGTAAATGATAAGTAATTGTGGTAAATGATAAGTAATTGTGGTTAATGATAAGTAATTGTGGTAAATGATAAGTAATTGTGGTAAATGATAAGTAATTGTGTGGTAAATGATAAGTAATTGTGGTAAATGATAAGTAATTGTGGTAAATGATAAGTAATTGTGGTTAATGATAAGTAATTGTGGTAAATGATAAGTAATTGTGGTAAATGATAAGTAATTGTGGTAAATGATAAGTAATTGTGGTAAATGATAAGTAATTGTGGTTAATGATAAGTAATTGTGGTAAATGATAAGTAATTAAAGATACATTATGGGAGATTCGGTAACGAGTTGGCAGTTCTCACTATAATAGTTAAACACTAGATAATGTAAAGGCAATATGCTGATAATTTCATTCAAATTGATCCTCCCGGTTTATGTCTTTCATGTTCTCAATAAAGGTCTCAATTATGCTGATCTTCTGTTATCTGTAGTGTTAAACGACATGAGTTAGAACGTCAAACAATTTTAACAAAAGGGGGGATAATCTGGATAGAATCTTGGAAAATGCTAAAAAAATAAATAATACAGATAATTCGACTGATTTTGATGGTGGTCATCCCGTGAATGGCGGTAGTCTGCCAATTGACGTCGTGAGTTAGAACGTCAAACAATTTTAACAATAATCTTGATAGAATCTCGGAAAACGCTAGAAATATAAATAATAAAGTATAATAATAATTATAGGTAGAAAGTGTAGAATTAGAGAAAGCTGTTTCAGAGATATTGGATCATACAACAGACATGGCTCAACAATGTACTGATGTAGACAGAGGTAATATATATAATATATATCATATAAACAACAATGTACTGATGTAGGCCTAGGAGCCACAGGGAGAGGGGAGAGAGAAAGAGGAATTGAGAGAGGGGGGAGAAAGAGATGGGGTTTAACGGCCACTTGACACAAACTATGGCATTTTGAGACTAACATATGGTTTAATTTTATTTCAATAATTCGCTTGCGCGTACGGGTCTAAAGCAGTGAGAGGTAACCGGAGGACTCGGAGAAAACCCACGAGGTTGGACAGGCGACCCTACTCCTTGTAACGTACAACCGGGGAATCGTAACCACGCTTATGATATGTGTTGAACTTGAAAGTTCATCTGGATTTTCCTGCTTGGTTTTTCATTTGTCAGTGGTGCAACACAGATAGCTCGGAAAGGACAACATATAGTCGTTCGGTGGATGAAAAACCGAGGTCCCATATTCACATTGACGTGTACTTGAAATAACTCTTGACAGATATAAAGTTGAGCCACAGTCTAGGCAAAATGTCCCTCATGGTGTACTGTATGTCGAGTGGATGTTAAATTCACATATCTATCTCTGTGTTCGCTACACATGCAGATCTACTTTATTTTCTCTCCCATTGGTTGAAATATGGGATGGAAGCCAAGTGATCAGTACAAGATTTGATAGAAATATAACGACTGGTCAATCTAAATAAAATACAGATCTATATTTCATTTTGCTTTTTTTAATACTTTCAATGGCCTACACTACATGAAGATCTTACAAGTAGTACTGGAAGGCCGTGTCAGGGATTGTATGAGCGGCTTTTGACCCTATGATGTCAGACATTGATTAATTAACCAACCTTTGACGTTTCTAGTCACCAAGAAGTCGCCTTAACAGACCGTTTCATTGGCTTAGCACTCAATTCGACCAAAACGCCGGTAATATAACAACTCTTCCAGATCTAGTCGCCATGAAGTCGCCGTAACATTGGCTTAGCACTCAATTCAACCAAAACGCCGGTAATATAACGACTCTTCCAGATCCTTGTGCAGTAAAGACAAGTAAAACGAAATTTTGAACTATAAAAAACAAAATGAAATAAGATCTGTTTTTTAATCAGATTGACTACCAGTATGTGAATGTAAATCAACGTTATTTTTATTGTTTGTTTTATTTCAGTTCACATGGATATTGATAAAGAAATAGCCCGTTTACAAGCTCAACCTAAAGCTGATTTGACAGAAAGAGAGAAAATTGAAAAACGTCAACATGATTTGAAAAAAGGTAGGCCTAGTATTGATGAATCAACATTACTGGGCTAATGAAGACGGGCATACGCCATACAGTGTGCTGTGAGGGAATTTTGCCCGGACAGCGGCACTACAGCCTACTCTTATATTGACTTCCAACTGCCAAGGGATCTTTTACATGTGGTTTAACGTCCTAATGTATACATGGGGCCTTTATTCCGTCTGATGCGAAAAAAAAAACAGCTGTCCTTGTCAGGCCCTTCATCCTGCACCACTAACAAGGGAAAACCACGTCGGAAAAATGCAGGGATTAAACATGCGATCTCCAGACTAGCAAACCAGCGTCTTACCCACTTAGCCACCGTGGCTCCCAAAAGTTGGGTATAAAGTAAGAAATGCCACTGTAAGGGCAAAATGCTGTTATTTCACATTGGAACAATTTCTTGTATAATTGTCGCAATATTTTAAAGTCTTTGTGGTTTTTTTTTCAGTTATGGAAGAGAAGAAAATAAAACTGGCAGAAGTTGAAAGGTAATTTACTTGTTTTTAAAAGTATTTAGTTATGGTACAGGTATCAGATTTTTTCCTTTTTACAAATTATTATACAATCCTTCAAACCAATCTGGATGGGGTGGGTGGCCGAATGGTTAACACATGCGCTTTGGATCATAAGGTCTGTCATCGAGTTTTGATTCCCTGTTTGTTCGTGACAAGCAGTAGGATCATGAACAGGAGTAGGGTCGCCTGTTGTGGGTTTTCTCTGGGTCCTCTGGTTTCCCCCAACTGCTAAAGACCCCTATGCGCAAGCGAATTATTGAAATAAAATTGAACGTTGTGTTGGTCCCAAAATGACCTAGTTTATGTCATGTAGACGTTAAACCCCATCTCTCTCTCTGTCTTCAATCAGTCCTGCTTGGAACACGAAGCTAGTTGACGGACATTTTAATCCTTACTTCAAAGATTTTAGTTGAAAAGCACTAAGTATTATGAGAATGATTTATTCCCCTTCCATTGAATGAAATTGAAATTGTTTATTTAGTCTTTGTGTGTTTGACAGATATTGGCATGTATAGGACCATATTTTCAGGGATTATGGCCCCTAATTGTAAGAAAATTGTATTTTTAGCTTGTGGACACTCTAGAGGTCTATTTTAAAAACCGTTTAAATATATCACCGTTACACCATAATGCAGGTGAAATAAAAAACAATGGATGCTAGGAAATTTTAACTTTTTTTTTCAGTGTGAAGATGAAGAAGGAAGAAGAGTTATCAGAAATACAGAAAGATCTGCAAAAACTTGAACAACGAAATCATCACGATCATAATAAACTTGTCGATCATCATGCTCAAGTTAAACAACTCAAATTAAACTTACAACATCAGGAAATGTAAGATATTTATAACAGTTTTAAACGGGGCTGGCCAGGCTGCGGGAGCCATGCTCAGGCCACGAGATCACAAAGCATTCTCAGACTTAAGTTAAGAATTTAGTCAACTTTCAATCACTGGTTATAATGAGAAATATCTTTGATCCAGAAACACAAAACTGTGAACATAGTTTCTTATTCATGTATTTGATACATTAAAACAACAAAAGTTTTATAATGGGCTATATTTTAGTTAAAAGGAGAACAATTTTGAGTAAATTCTTAACTTAAGTCTGAGAATGCTTTGTGAACTTGGGTTCTGGCCGTTTGAATTGGGACTCACACTGGTTCCAATCCTATTTTAGAAAAATTATCTGGCTAAGAATTTATCTCACGTTCTTGCTATATAGTCTTCCTTCACTGGTCATAGCAGCTGGTCATCGTTAGTTGCCAATAGTTACAGCTAAGTTGTTCAAATCCTTACCAACAAAAAACCTGTCTCATCTGTTAACAAAATGTACAAGATCTTGTCGCCTAAATAAATGTTCTAGACCTCGCCCACTAAGAAAGAATTTCAAGAATTGATATCTCATTCCCAGGCGTATTGAAATTGAACTTGAAGATCATTATACTTATAATCGGCCTATTTCTTTAGGACTTAAATGTTGTATGAATTATTAATTAGACATTTATTAACTTACCAAGGCCATAATCAACTCTCAATGCCATCAGATGCTCTAGATTTAATAGAATTGGCAGTTAATGATATAATTTAACCCGTTAAGCGAGACGTTTTTAAAACGTTAAATACCCCCTATTGTGTAATTAATTTGACGAAGTGACGAAGAACTATGTACTATGTTCTAAGAATAGGTTGGGGAAAATACCTCCAAGGCGGCATATTACGCACTACACACAGTGAGTGGCAGTTGTCCAGGACGTTATATAACGACCTACGCACTTAAAGGTAAAAATGGATAATCAAGACATTTTTTATTATCGTAACAACGGTAGCAATGACAATCATGACTACACTGTAATCGATGATAACTCCACTCAGAATGAAGTAATTTGAGTAAAATTTTCAACATATTCCTTTTTTATTTTGTATTTTTGAACGATTATAGTAGCGCGAACTGTCAGCTCTTTATCAATCTGATTCAAATACAGATCTATATTTCGTTTCGTTTTTTTATACTTTTGATGGCCTACACTACATTAAAATCTGGCAAGTTGTACTCGAAGGTCGTGTCAAGGGTCATACAGGCGGCTTTTGGCTTATCCTTCACTTCAACCAAAACGCTAGTAATATAACAACTCTTCCAGATCCTAGTGTTGTGAAGAGAAATAAAACGAATTTTGAACTATAAAAAACGAAACGAAATAGGATCTGTGTTGTAATCAGATTGACTCTTTATCTAAATCTTACATAATGTATCCTTAATAAATACTGTATCCTTAATAAATACTGTTTATTCTTTTACTTGATGTATCCTTAATAAATACTGTTTATTCTTTTTACTTGATAAGATTACATTACTGGTGTATACTAGAGGAGAATTATACAACAAGTCAAGCTACCTTCCTCTTTCTACAAGATACCATCCAATTTATCGTAGATTATAAAATAACCGATAATCAACATCAAATACGTGGAATAAAAATACAGTCTCTTTTACAAGGTAACAAATTTATACACAATGTTTAATTTCATGAGGGGGTTGAAGGGTCTATCCTGTGCACGGGGGGTGGGTTTGATTACCGATTGTTAAGCTCGTGCACGGTGTGTCATAAGGTCTGTCATTGAGTCAGTTGGCGTGGTTTAGATTCCCTGGTTGTACATGACAGGGAGTAGGGTCGCCTGTCCAACCTTCGTGGGTTTTCTCTGGGTCCTTCGGTTTCCTCCCATACGAAAGACCATCTACGTGGCAAGTTATTGGAATAAAACTGAACCATATGTTAGTCCCAAAATGACCTAGTCTGTGTCGAGTGGAGGTTAAACTCTCTCTCCCTCTCTCTCTCTCTCTCTCATTTGCGATAATCCAAACAGATTATCATCTGATTACCGATACATATCACTATGAGGAACAGTATTCCAATCAAGTTTTAATTATTTATGATAATTACTTCATGGGTTGTTTGTTTAGAAATGAAATGGGGTTTAATGTCCGACTGGGCTGATAAAGATGGGCATGTGCTATGAGGGAAATTTTGCCTGAACGGCGGAACAACGACCTACTCTGATATCAAATACCAATTGTCTAAGGATCTTCTACATGCATGCCAATGTATACACAGGACCTTTGTTTTTTGTCCCATCCGAACGACTAGACAGCTGTCCTTGTTAGATGTGTGGAATATGGCGGGAGTGGAGAGAGTGAGTTAGGGAAGTGAATGGCAGAATAAAAGTGTTAAAAGACGATATAGTTATTGGAGTTTACAAGAAACGTGTACGGCTCCTATTACCTCTAGTTTCCTCCTGATGCTAAAGACCCCTTGAATACAAACAAATTATTCAAATGAAATGGAACTATATTTTAGTCCCGAAATTGCCTAATTTGTGTTGACTCGAGTTAAACTCCTAACTCTCTTTACCCAAACACCCTCTCTCTGCTAACTACTCCTATTACCTGCAACAGAATAAACCAGCATCAACTTGGTTGAACTGTTTGGTCAATTTAGCTGCTGTGTCTATGTTACATTGCCTGACAACCTATCTTTGTTTCTTCAGATTCGTCGTCTCCATGGTTTCATTTGGGTCATATGTTAGCTGTGGACCACTTGAATTTACAACCGTTATTATCTCAATACCTAGGACAAACACGATTACCACAGGTAAGTTTTGACTTATGCAATTAGTCCGGCAGCAGGTCGACAAACATGGAAATATAGTCCACCTGATGTTTTTGATGGATTATATATCTTCAATATGTGTAGATTAAGAATCTGGATGATGCCAACCTGGCAATCTTGAGAAAATTTAAATTACCAAGATGGCTGTCATGAGGCTAATATCTCGTTCAAAGTTAAGCAATTTGACTGAAATTTCAACATTATTTCTTTACATTATCTAGTTTTTAACTATTATAGTGAGAACTACCAGCTCTTTATCTAATATTCCATAATGTATCTTTAAGACCCATACATGACCAGTAGTAAGGTCACCTAACCAACCTTGTGGGTTTTCTCCCGAAATGTTAATATATAATTATATTATAGATATTAGATGTGGTATCAGATGTTATGTGTATTATATTATAGTTATTAGATGTGGTATCAGATGTTATGTGTACAGTAGAGAATGTAATAAATGATGTTTGTCGAGTTGATGACCTATATATGGTAGATATACAACAGTATAGGTAAGATAAACACAATGGATAGTCATAGTTCTTCGGGTGAGACGAAAAGCCTAGGGCCAGCAATGTATGCATGTAAAAGATCCATTGGCAGTTGGAATTAGGGAATTAGAAAGAAGAACTTTTAACATGGAGTTAATGGATTGTTATCTTTAAAAGAAAGTCTGTTGCTGGAAACCCTGTTAACATTAACATGTCGTTAACTTGCCGTTACGTCTGAATATTAATGTTCCCTCTCTCTGTCGGCATCATCGTTTTATCCAGCAGTGCCACATATCTACTGGCTTGACCAGCTTCTCTCTCCGCCGGTACAATCATTTGATCCAGCAGCTACATACATCTACCGGCCTGTTTAGCCTCTACTACTCTTTTTAAGGGAGTGTTGCCGCTCCCCGTCCCCTCCACTTTTCTCGTTATATCCATTAATACTGTGTTGCTATTCCCCCACTGGTTTTCTAATCTATATAATATCCAATCTGATTAAAACACAGATTCTATTTCGTTTCGTTTTTTATAGTTCAAAATTTTGTTTTACTTGTCTTTTACTACACTAAGATCTGGAATAGTTGTTATATAACCAGCTTTCTCCATGATGTGAGGTATTAGCCAATGAAACGGTCAGTTAGGCAAGTTTTTGTCATGACTTGCACGGAACTGTGGGTAACCCACTAGAAACATCAATGGTGGATTGGTTAATCAAATGTCTGACAGCATAGGGTCAAAAGACCCTCGTATGACCTCTGACACGAAGCCCCACTACAACTGGTCAGATCTTCATGTAGTGTAGGCCATCGAAAGTATAAAAAACCAAACGAAACGAAATATAGATCTGTACTTTAATCAGATTGTATAATATCTATATTTTAGGGTACTGGATGTTTATATATTTGGAGTTTTTGGGGAATGATCTAGATATTTATATATTTTATTTCTAGGGTCGAGTTTATCTGAATATTTATATTTCTAGAGTAGAGTTTAACAATCTGAATATTTATATATTTTATTTCTAGGGTCGAGTTTATCTGAATATTTATATTTCTAGAGTTGAGTTTAACTATCTGATCTAGATATTTATGTATTTTATTGCTAGAGTTGAGTTTAGCTATCTGAAGATTTATATTTTTTATTTCTAGAGTCGAGTTTAATGTACTGAATATACAAACTGTGAAGAAAATTAAAGTTTATGTGACCTTTGACCCTGTGAATATTCTGAAACCCAAGATCGATCTGAAACCAATGATTGGTGACATCAAGTAAGTTTTGTTATACAACCACATTTTAGTTGTCATGGGCCCCTGTTTGTCCATCTGAAGTGCCAGAGTTATGGTCCTTGATGACTATTAAAAATCTTGTGTACGCTCTAGAGGCTAAAGTTAAATGATTATAAGGTCTGTGTGTGACAAGATCGACTGTGACTATAAAATGAAATGAAATGGGGTTCAATGTTCTACTGTTCTGCTCTGAACTGGACTGGGGTGTTGGATGGCCGAATGGTTAGCACGTGCGCGCTGTATCATAAAGTCTGTCATTGAGTCAACTGACGTGGTTTCGAATCCCCGGTTGTACGTGACAAGGAGTAGGGTCGCCTGTCCAACTTCGTGGGTTTTCACCGGGTCCTCCGGTTTCCTCCCACTGCTAAAGACCCCTACGCGCAAGCAAAATTATGGAAATAAAATTGAACCATATCTTAGTCCCGAAATGACCTAGTTTGTGTCGAGTGGACGTTAAACCCCATTTCTCTCTCTCTCTCTCTGAACTGGGCTAATAAAGACGAGGGAAATTTTGCCCGGACAGCAGCACTACGATAAACTCTTATATCGAATTCCAACAGTCAAGGGATCTTTTATGTGCTCGCAAATGTGTACACAGGACCTTGGTTTATCGTGCCATCTGAATGACTAGACAGCTGTCCTTGTCAGGCCCTCCATCCTGCATCACTGACAAGGGGAAACCACAACAATAAGAGTGGCTATGAAGACCTGGTTAGCCTGGTTGTCAGTGACTAGTTTTGTTTGTATCAGACTGATTGGACTCACATGGCAGACTTTTTATTTATACTATTACCAGGGTTTCCATGGTTCCCAATTGGCGTGGTTACCGGGTTTGTGATTTTATTACCGGGGTTTGTATCTCGCTAACCAGGGTTGTACAGAGGGTTGACAACTGATGGTTTAGATTAGGATGCCTTTTGTTGAATTGTAATTCTCTGTCCATCTCTTCCAAAATGTGGGCGTATCCTGGTTTTATTTAATCATCAATGAGCGTTGAGCAGCAGATCGGATTCCCATCCAGGAAAATATCGCAGGCTAGTGATGACACCGAGAGTTGATTATAGTCATGGTACATTAATTGATGTCTAATAAATAGTATATATAACATTTCAGGACTAAACAAAGACCTACAATAGGTTAATTTAGCTCTTACATAATGTATGTTTAAGCAATATATTGGTTTGTTTCAGGGTGGAAGGTTTACAAGGTAAACTGGAAGAATGTAGTGGAAGAGGCTGTATGAAACAAATACTAAAACTTATACAAGATTTTATAGCAATTTAAACATCAACTGACCATCATACTGTCCGATTTAAATATCAACTGACCATGTATACATCATACTGTCAGATTTATAAAACTTGTATACACTCAGGCACTGACTGCACTCATGTCATAGGCAGATATCAGGGATGCTGTTAAAATAAATATTTTGCTCCTTGGACATTTTTAAATTGTTTCTATGGCATTTAGTATATATATAATTTGGAATATACAGGTGACAATTCTATGGAATACAATTACTGCTTATTACTGGGCGACGTTTCATCTAGGCTTCTCTAGTCATTATCAAGCAATGCTCAGTAATAAGCAGTTATTGTATTCCATAGAATTGTCACCTGTATTATAGTATATGGATATTTTTAACCAGAGTAAATAGAGGCCAGAATAAGATCACTAGAGGTCGTTGTTAATAAGGTTCCATTCCCTTTAATAGACATCAACTATAAATATTTTTATGCTATGTAGCATTATCGTGTTCTGAATAATATTTATGATTAGTACCAAAAATAAAAATAGGTGAACCTCTCTATTTTTCATATTTAATTTCCATACAGACTTCAAATTCATGTCAGTAATATTTCTAATAAAAATATGCGTCTTTGTTTGTACAGTAAAAAATGAAAGCAACTTATTGTATGTTGACAAGAGTTAGGTTCCAGAATTGTAGAGTAAATTAAAAATTTGCAGTGAAATATGCTTAGGGATTCAATATGAATTTCACCGGGAATCCCCTAGGGTTTAGCCTTACAGAAATTGACTGATCTAACAACCGTTTGATGTAGAATTGAGTAGAAAAATTGTTTCTTTAACAAAATGCCAATAATTTATTTACTAAATATTGCCAAAAAAATATTATAACAATTTGTTCAATTTTTAAATATGTTTTTCTAGAATCATCAAATATTCAGTTCTACAAAAATCCTCATAGTGCTAGATTTTTACTTATTTAATATTTTTAAGATTTGTTGGCAGATTTTTTATAATTTGTTTTGTTGTTAGTTTTTATGGTCATGATTGAACAAATATGTTGATGCACCATTCAGTAATTCTTTTGCATTTTCTTTTCTCAATAAATACATTGAATATTTTCATGTAAACAAAAGTCAGAATTACAAAAACATAATTTCTAAATGGAAAGTCAGAATTGAAAAACATAATTCCTGAATGGAAAGTCAGAATTGCAAAAACATAATGTTTAAATGGAAAGTCCTGGTTAGTGAGACAGCACAAAAGTCACCGAACCACCACCATTGTGAATCCTCATTTTGTTCAAATCATGACCTAGAAAAATAGGTGATGTTGTTCTTTTGTTATAATCATAGGGCCTACTCGATTGAACGTTCCGGAATTGAATTCTCTCAATCCCAAAAATAGTGACAATCGAGTGAAAATGGGGACTTCAGACTACAACGCATGCGTCGACTGGATATATAAATATCTCATCCAACCATGCAGCCGTCACAATTCTACTCACACCACCTCCGTCGTTGGGAGTGACAGGAGTACAGGACTGAATTCCGCGTCACTCGATTGCAATTCTGTCAATTCGGAACGTTCTGGGCTGTGAATCGAGCATCCCCCATATTACAATAGACAAGGGAGGTCATTCTAAGTCGTTATCCTAGTTCTTCTCTTTTTTTATTTCCTTCTCAGCTTTTTTCTTTGTGTTGTTTCTTATATGTATTTTAGAATTGCCATTTGTGTTAATATTTGTAAATATATCACCCATATTCATTGATTGATAAACATTTTATAACAACCAAAATGTAGGTTTCATTATCATTTAGGGAGGGGAGCAGTAGTTGTTGGTCCTCTGGTTCCCCCCCCCCCCCCCAATTGCTAAAGGCCCCTATGACTTGGTTTTGCATCGAGTAGACATTAAACCCCATTTCTCTCTCCGGAGGACCCAGAGAAAGAAAACTGAGGCTGTTGGGCGGGCAAAAAATCGGCATATACAAGCTTGCTCTCAAAACCATGCCAGTTGACTCAATGTTCACGGCACGTTTAGACTACTCGTCCATCCAACCCCCCTGTATACTACTTGGAATGCTGTCCTGCCTAATGAATGAAAGAAATCACTCTCATTGGTTAGATTTAAATATCAAGGATACCTGCAGATTTCGTCAAGGTCACGAGATGTAAACAGGGTTAGGGGATGTGATTGTGGGTTAGGGTTAGCCCTGTGTACTTTTTGTGACCTTGACAAAATCCGCAGGTGGCCTTAATATTTATATCTAACGCACTCTCATTATCATGATACAATTCTCCATATTTAAATATGGGGAGGTTTTTTTTTTATAAGAGCTAATTTTAACATTTGCAAATAAGTCCTGTTGGTTTACTGTGTCCGATTAACCAGAATTAAAATACAGATGTGACATCATCCTTTGATGTTGGCGTAGCATTATTTCAAATAATCGTACGTGCAATGTGCCAAGCATACATTATTTATACTAGTGGTAATATTGGACCGGCGTGATGTATTTCATTGAAATGCAAGTGCTGGATACTGTCTGTATTTTAAGTTATTTAATGGTCTTGTGCAAGACATTGCGTAATATACAGATATTGCCCTCATGCTATCGCACTCGTACAATATCAATATATTACTTAATGTCTGGCACTCAACCATTAAACTTTGTAGTTGGCTGTATTTGTTATATAAACTCGACCATTACACTTAATTAACCAAACGATAAAACCAAGTCATATCAAATATTTATTTCTCACATATTCAACTACATCACCCACACAGTCTCTAAAATAAATTTCTATCACACAAACCGAGTCGCTAAAGATAATAGTTTAGAAAATTCTCCTCTCTTTCGTAAAGCTGACGGAATCGGTACTGTTATTCTTGTTCCTGTCGGAGAACCGTTGTCTTCTATTAAAACTATGTTATTTGTATCAAATTTGGGCATGTTTGGTTTCTGGTTTTGTTTCACGCCCACGATATAAGCGCGTTTCTTTTGTCCTTTAATAGCAACTAAAACTTTATCTCCGACAGTCCCGACACTAGTTTTATTGTAAACGTGAATAACACGCGCTGGTTTTCCTGAAAGCCGAGCAGCTTTACCTAGAGCACTGTTATCTACTACTCTCATCCTGGCCAACTTTCTGATCTCGTGCAGACACGGTGTTGTACTGAAATGAAATGAATTAAATTGATTAAAGGTCTTAGGAACACACATAATCTACCAAATAAATGAAATGAAATGGGGTTCAACGTCCTACTGTTCTGCTCCAACTGGGCTAATGAAGATGGATGGGCATACGCCATACAGTGTGCTATGAGGGAAATTTTGCCCTGACAGCGGCGCTACGACCTACTCTTATATTGAATTCCAACTGCCAAGGAATCTTTTACGGCACGCCAATGCGTACATTAGTCCTTGGCTTTTTGTACAACCCGAACGACTAGACAGCTGTCCTTGTCAGGCCCTTTGTCCTGCACCACTGACAAGGGGAAACCACGCCAAAAAAAAATAACGATGATCTTTCTCGGCCAACATGTGGCTCCCCTACCAAATAAAAAATAATAGAAATACCTTATGATATTTTCCCTGAAAGATGAACTACCTGGCAACAAAACATACCCACAGTTGTCTGAGCTATCCATAACGTGTTTGCATTGTGATTATTTTCGCTCCACCCAAACAACTAGGCGTTACTTACCAAGCCCTACACCCGCATCAGTGACGAGGGAAAATTGCCCGATATGTCAAGGTTGTCACATTGTGATTAATTTTGTCCCATCCAAACAACTAGTCATTATTTGCCATGCCCTCTGTCCTGCACCACTGACAATGGGGGAAGCAAAACTTAAAAATCGCTGTGCAATCAATTTTGTTATCTCAATCTGTCCACCAAAAAACATTACAAGTATTTCAAATGCAGTAAATAAAGAGAGTTCTAGCTGTGCAAGAAAAATATAGTTTAAAAATTCTATAATCAAACTTTTCTGATGTATTTATTTATTATTCACCGTACCTGAACAACCTTGTGCCTGTTGCATAAGTTGATAAAGACTTTATAAAATTCATTTTTCAATCTTTTGATATGCTGTAGGCCTTTTTCTGGCACAAAAGCGGTTTTCTAATGACTGAAACAAAAAAAATATGGAAATAAATGTAATTGGGTGTTTCAGCTGTATGTAGCTGAGACCTACGAAAATATGTGATAAGAGAAAATGCACAGAGAAATTCTAATTGTGCTTGCCTTACATGTCAATACAAGTGGCTTTATATATTCTCATATTTGATTGTTCAAAATCCGCTAAAAGAGCTTATCTATACTAATATTTGTGACTGTCATTTGTCTGTCTGTTTGTCTGTCTGTTCGGGGTTGGCGGCTACACTAGGTCTGCCCCGAGTCTGAAATTTGGGTTATAGGGTTAGCTCGGACCGGGGAGTAACATAGGCCAGGTGGCGTTAGTCTACCACTTCCGTTTTTGGGGTTATGACCCCTGAGCGAAGCCGGGCATTCTTCTAGTATTAGTATAAAGCTACGCTCTAAAGCATTGAGCAAAGCTCTTTTCCGGTAACACCATAGTGAAATGAAAACTGTTGCCTACAGACTGTTCATTAAAAAAAAAAATTCAGACCACATTTTAGACCTAAATTAAAATCACTTTGGAAAACGAAATTGAATTATTTAACATTATTTGTAACTGTATCACTTGAGAAACTTAATTGATTAACAACAACAATCACATCAGCTTCGCTCTACTCAGACAATGCCTGTTATATATTATTTACTAAGAGAATTTGGTGCTATTGCACTTTCGCACCTCTACCAGTTCCCGTGGACGTAGAGACTTGAAGAGGCGAGAAAGTGCAATAGCCGATAATTCTTCGCTTCTTCTTTGATTTAGACAATGTAAATGTTGAATGTTGTGATTGTGGGTACCGTGATTGTGTCTTGCGAAAAGTCCGATGCAAGGGCAAGGCGAATCGGCGTTAGATTTTGGTGACAGACATATAAAAGGGGATCTAATTTGACTAGTTACATCTTAGTGTCGACGTAATTCACTAAACTCAAATATTTGTAAATGAATGAATCTAGTTGATATGGTTTTAAATAACTTACAAGCTGAAAATAAAAATCAAGTTAGTTTTGTGGCCATGTTTAATCCAGAGTTATCTGCCTTGATTAATTCCTTACTTGATTATCCAGTCGATATACACTACAAATTAATACTAGGTCCTGTTTCTCGAAATCTTAACTAAAGATAAAATCCAAATTTTAGTAGATACTTCGATTTTGATTGGCTAAGCACTAAAATCAATCTAATATTATCCAATCAAATTACTAAAATTTGGATTTTATCTTAGATAAAATTTCGCGAAACAGGTCCCTGGTCACAATGATGCACACCTCTTTGGCTGATTGAACTAATTGTTCAACGAATTAATCATATAACTTCAAAATTATATTCACGATGTTTAGATAGTTTTCAATACTCATCAAATTATACAGCAGTCATTACCCAAATCTAATCTTCAGGCCAACCAAAATTAATTACTTTTTAAAAAAAAATTATAGGATTGGATGGGAAAAAAATAAATAAATAAATAAAAAGCATACCGTGATGGAATATTCTCAAAGAAATGAAATGGAATGGGCTTTAACGTCCCACTGCTCTGCCCCGGCTGGGCTAATGAAGACGGGTATACGCTATACAGTGTTCTATGAAGGAAATTTTGCCCGGGCAGCGGCACTATGGCCTACTCTTATGTCAAATTCCAACTGCCAAGGTGTATTTTATGTGCACACCAATGTGTTCACGAGACCCCGGTTTGCGTCCTATCCGAACGACTAGACAGCTGTACCTTGCCAGACCCTCCTCCGACCGGCATCACTGACAAGGGAAAACCGCGTCAGAATATCCCGATGAACTTTCTCGGCCAATGCAGGGATCGAACACGCGACCTCCAAGATAGCGAGCCAGCGTCTTATCCACTAAGCCACTGTTACCGATTTTTCTCCAATTTACATCAATGTTTAGATTTAAATTTATGTCTCGTTTGGTAACATAGTTTTCAATGCACGAAGTGACGAAGAAACATTTTGTCCAAAATGAGCCATATAGTGTCAATTATGTTTTCTATTCGGAGCATTGCACATATATGCGATTTTAAAATAAAACATCTATTTCGAAGTGGTGCAATTCAAAATCGGTACAGACAATCATTAGAAATAAATAATTGGTTTTAATTGCTGCTCCAGACATTTGCTAGTCTTAACTCTGGCCCGTTTCACATTTTGATGGTCGGGTTGCGAGATGTAAATAGGGTTAGGGTACGTGATTATTGACGAGCTTGTGGTATATGGTTATGTCTAGGGTTAGTGTTAGCGTTAGTGTTAGTGTTAGCGCTAGCCCTGTTTACATCCCGTGACCTTTGACCAAATCTGCAGTTGGCCTTGGTTGAACGCTATTTGTAGTCTAGTCGTCCAAGACGTGCGCTTTAGGTCATTACATGTATATCTGTCATTGAGTCCCGGTATGTAGTCTTCATCCCAACCTGTACGTGACAAGGAGTATAATAGCGGTCCCTCCCGGTTATAACATAATGACTTATGTCATAGAGGCGTCCTGCCATATTAAAATACGTATTAGTGATTGTAACATAAACCTGTCGCTATCAATACCCGGCTGGAGATCTTGGTAGTATTCCTTATGTCATTGCGTAACTATAACTTGTTGTTGGCATGTCTTATCTAACTTTCTTTGTCTGATAAACTATATTGAATGTTAAACCTTCATATGATGCTTGATACATTAGACAGGTGTCTAATGAGCTCCTTTGTCTCGAATACGTTTATAAACTCGGAACAGAAACGAATCTCAAGGCGGGTCCAGGAGGCCATGCTAGGCGGGCGCCTTGGCACGAGACGGTACGAGACGACAGCTTTTGGAGTTAGCACACTCATGCTAAGCCAAGCTAATTAAGTCATGACTCCTTCCATATAGTTAGTTCTACGGTCGTTTACATCACGATGTTTGTACCTAATATTGTAAGAAGCAGAATAAAACTATTATTAGATGTATATACCAGTGTTGTCATCCAAGAACCTGATTAAAGTACCAATACTGTCACATATAAATTGGTGCCGTGACCAGGATCTCGTTTGTGTTTTTTTTTCATTGACTCGCGTGTGTGACCGATTGTGTGTATATAACTTTCAAGTTCGTGTGTTTTTCATTGACCTTTTCATTTTTGGATATTATGACATTTTACATGTATATATAACTTTTAAATTCGTGTGTGTTTCATTTACCTTTTCTTTTTGTTTATAGACATTTTTGTATACGACATTTTACGAGTGTTGTTTGTTTTTATATATTTTTTCATTATTATTATTGTTGTTTATATCTTTATAAGAGTAGTAATTATCGACTCCATAGGTATCTAATTTTGTAATAGTCTTTAAAAGTTATTTCATATAATTCATAACTTTATTCAAACAAAGAGAGGTATATAACATAATGACTTATGTCATAGAGGCGTCCTGCCATATTAAAATACGTATTAGTGATTGTAACATAAACCTGTCGCTATCAATACCCGGCTGGAGATCTTGGTAGTATTCCTTATGTCATTGCGTAACTATAACTTGTTGTTGGCATGTCTTATCTAACTTTCTTTGTCTGATAAACTATATTGAATGTTAAACCTTCATATGATGCTTGATACATTAGACAGGTGTCTAATGAGCTCCTTTGTCTCGAATACGTTTATAAACTCGGAACAGAAACGAATCTCAAGGCGGGTCCAGGAGGCCATGCTAGGCGGGCGCCTTGGCACGAGACGGTACGAGACGACAGCTTTTGGAGTTAGCACACTCATGCTAAGCCAAGCTAATTAAGTCATGACTCCTTCCATATAGTTAGTTCTACGGTCGTTTACATCACGATGTTTGTACCTAATATTGTAAGAAGCAGAATAAAACTATTATTAGATGTATATACCAGTGTTGTCATCCAAGAACCTGATTAAAGTACCAATACTGTCACACGGTGCTCACGATTCATTTCACTTCCAAAGACCCCTACGCGCAAGTGAATTATTGAAATAGAATTGAACCATATGTTAGTCCCGAAATGACCTAGTCTGAGTCGAGTGGTTAAAATCGGTTACCACATAGTTTGGAAGACGACAAAGATAATTCAAGCACATATGTTTTAAACAATAGTTCTGTCCGCATCGTGCATTCTGTATATTATGTATAAGATTCAAACAGTAAAAAAATTTCACCCTTAATACAATCAAAGGAAGAACGCACCCCATGCCTTTAATAGCCATGTAATCAGGAATCGCTACCCAGGGTCATCTTGAATTGCCCAATATCATAGATAGAGAGAGAGAGAGTTTAACGTCCACTCGACACAAATTAGCTCATTTAGGGACTAACATATGGTTTAATTTTATTTCAATAATTCACATGCGCGTAGGGGTCTTTAGCAATGGGAGTAAAACAGGGGACCTGGAGAAAACCCACGAGGTTGGACAGGCGACCCTACTCCTTGTCACGTACAAGCAGGGATCGGAAACCGCGCCAGGGCAGAGCTTGAGAACCAACGCGGAAGCGTTCCCAGATTACAGAGAATGTAGACTCCCCCAAACCAGATCACAGAGAAGCGAATAACATTTGACTCTCTGTGTATAAAATGGATTACAAACAACGGAATGGTAAACATAAATTAAGGCCAAGAAATAGCCGGAATTTAACATTGAAGTCAACGCTAAATAGCACAGTGGTCTGATACCTGGGTGTTAAACGCTTTATCACTTCCATTTGATTTTAAAAAAAAGTACCAATTTTTTTAATTGTGTTTATTCTACAGTAATTTCAGCTTTTTGTACCAAAAAAGTTTGTGTCGTCGATGATAAACTTTTAGTTGTTTTATCTTTAAACAGATAAATTTTAACCATTGTTGATACACGATTTGTAAGCGTCACGAACATTTCATTCACTTGGAAGGAAAAATCTAAAGAATTTCCACGATAATCCAGACCAGTTATATTCCATCGTGAAGTGTCTGGCAACATCTGGGGATTAAAAGTCAGGTTATTTTCGTTAATTCTGAAGCCTCCATAACCATAAATAACAGACTGAAGATATCCACCCATTCCCGTGTGGAAGTTAACAGCACCGCTTCCATCGGCATTCTCAGTCCAAGTCTGAAAAAGAAAGAACCAAGTTATCGTACCCGGAAGACACAAAGGGAGAGAGAGCCGGAGAAAACCCACGAGGTTGGACAAGCGACCCTACTCTTTGTCACGTACAACCGGGGATTCGAGACCACGCCAGTTGACTCAATGACAGACCTTATGATACAAAGACACAAAGGGAACTTATCTTAATTCGATAGATTGGAAACTGTTCTTAATTTACAGCGACATGTTTCTCTGTGTACATTCTGCATTCATAAAACATATCGAATTATTACTAATTCCACTGGAAATAGGGTGAAGTGAACCCAATCTGATTATAATACAGATCTATATTTCGTTTCGTTTTTTTATACTTTCGATGGCCTACACTACATGAAGATCTGACTAGTTGTAGTGGAAGGTCGCGGCAGGGGTCATACGACCGGGTTTTGACCGTATGACGTCAGAAATTTGATTAACCAATCAGCGTTGATGTTTCTAGTAGAGTACCCACTGTTCCGTGCATCGCACGCCACGAACGTCATAGGGTCAAAAGCCGCTCGTATGACCTCTGACGGGATCTTGCACTACAACCGGTCATATCTTCGTGTAATAGAGTCCATCGAAAGTATAAAATTTTAATTTAATCATATTGCCCTCAACAGCTACTCACGTAGAATGGTTTTTGGACATTTTTAGTTCCCCGCAGAAAGAGTTCGTCAGCATGGTTTTTATTCCCGCCAAGTTCCAGCCAATTAACGGCATACATTCCCCACGTCATAGCCGGACCATTTCCTACAACCTATAAGATAAAAAAGGAAAACCCCCCTTTAGTTCACATACTGTCCCATTTCCAACACCTGGTCATAAGTAACGCAAGCTCCTTATAGGCTAATGAAGACGGGCATACGCCATACAGTGTACTATGAGGGAAATTTTGCCCGGACAGCGGCACTACGGCCTACTCTTACATCGAATTCCAACTGTCAAAGGATCTTTTAAGTGCACGCTACATATGTGTACTCGGTTTTTTGTCCCATCTGAACGACTAGACAGCTGTCCTTGTCAGGTCATTCGTCCTGCATCACTCACAAGGGGGAACCACGCCGGAAAATCTGTATGAACTTTCTCGACCAATGCGTCTATATACTTATGTAACTCATGACACAATGAATAATATGGAATGCACGTTACTTAAAGAGATAGAGAAAAATGGGGTTTAACGTCCACTCGACACACAATAGGTCATTTTGGGAATAACATATGGTTTAATTTCATTTCAATAATTCGTTTGTCCGTAGGGGTCTTTAGTAGTGCAAGGAAATCGGAAGACCCGGAGAAAACCCACGAGGTATGGACAGGCGACGCACCCCCTTGTCACGTACAACCGGGGAATCGAAACCCCGCCAGTTGACAGATGTTATGATACAACGCACACGCGCTAACCATTCGCCCCCACCACCGCCAGAAAAGTAGGTCGTTAAACCCATCAGTAAAAATAAACCGACAGATATGAACAGTTACATTTGTTAGAACTTCTGATTTTTTTTTTACCTTTTCATAAATATTGAGATCATTTCTTCTGGTCTCATCTGATTCATACTTATACATGAAGGGAAACCCAATCAGTATGACGTCAGCTTGTTTAATAGAACTTCCTGGAATATAAATGACAAAACATTCTTCATATTAAACATGCATTATTCAAGAGCTTAATCTGCCTATTGTAGTTCTTTCTTTAGGCCTGAAATGTTATATAAATTATTAATTAGACATTAATTAACTTATCAGCCCATAATCAACTCTCGATGCCATCGCTAGCGGACTGGAATACATTTTTTGAAAAATAATTAAACGTAAAACTGAATAATCGAGACTTTGTTTTGTTATCGTACCAACTTTAGTAATGATGATCGAGGCTAGCCTAAAATTCAAAATCTAATATCTCGGTTCAGAGTGGATCAATTTGACTGAAATTTATTTTCAGCATATTCTATTTACGTTATCTATTTGTTAACTATTATAGCGAGAACTGTCAACTCTTTATCTTATCTCCCATAATGCCCCATTAATCACAAATATTTTGGACATTCGTAAAGTAATTCGAAAAGTGAAAACATTAAAACTTGCTTGAAAATATCCTTACACCTGTCTAAATACTAACAATTGAAGGCATGCAGGTTTGTCGGCGACGACGCTAATGGTTTGTCGGCGACGGCGTTTGTCGGCGACGACGCTAATGGTTTGTCAGCGACGGCATGTCAGTAGACAACACACCTATAGTAAATGAAACGTCGGGGACCAGGTTGTCAGTGGGCCCCTGAGGAAGTGGGTCCCCTTAGAAATTAGACAATATATTTAAAATATAAATTATCAAAAAATATATAAATATTAGTTAAAAATTATTAGCCTGAAAATATTTTAATAGTTCTATTATATCTTCAATTCTATTACGGGTTATGATAATTACTATTGTCCACTTACATATTTTTTTGTAAATTTAATCTATTCATTTTAAGAATTAAATGATATAATTGTATTGGTGGGTGAGCCCCCTTTGTCTCCTGGCAACCAATATTTTCAGACTCAGTCCGCCACTGTCGGGGACTACTTATCAAGCTGTATAATTTCCGTTATCCAAAAAGGGCCTGACAAGAACAGCTCTCTAGTCGTTCGGATGGGACTAAAAACCGAGGTCCCGTGTACAAAATTGACGTGCACGTAAAAGATCCATTGACTGTTGGAATTCGATATAAGAGTAGGCCGTAGTGCCGTTGTCCGGGCAAAATTTTCCATCAGAGCACACTGTATGGCGTATGCCCGTCTTCATTAGCCCAGTTTAGGAGCAGAACAGTAGGACGTTAAACCCCATTTCATTTCATTCATTTCCAATCGTTATTCGTCAGTGTTGGGCGAAACCTTGAGGACACAAGGCCGAGTAATATATTTCTTCTTTGTTCTTCCGTACGCTATGATAATTACTATTACCGTACTCTAGGACTGTATGCTGTGATAAATGTTTTTACCGATTTTATAGCCATCAAATTCGGGATGATACGCTGTATCCTGATCATAAGGTATATATAGCCTGTCTTGGATATCCTGCCAGATTTTAGGTGTCTCCTGTCCCATCATTTTACCAGCCATCTGAGCTGATTGTAAACTCATTGCTGCTAGAATATTTGTATAAACTGAATTGTTCACCCCAACGTTATATTCATCAGGTCCAGTTACATCTAAAACAAAACGAAACGCAAAATTATTGAAATTGGTGATCTGACCCTAAGACTCAAGTACAGGGCCCGGTATTGATATAACTGTAAGTCAGGAAGTCTTTATTCAAATTAAGAGTATGGCGGCTTGTACAACAAAGTTAATATCGACGATTTCAAATTTCAAATATCTTAATTTCAATTTATTGGATGCCCCCATGAAATGGATGCCTGACCATCACCCCCTCTGCCACCCTTTCTGTGCGCCACTGATGAATACAGCATGAATAAAAAAACTTACTGTTAAATCCGTACATGTTGGTTGTCGGATTGAGGTAGACGTACGACTCCCAGAATTTAGCTATTTCTAGCATCGCCTCACCAGCCTTTTCATGTAAAATAAAATCCGTATCATTGGTCAGGTAGAAAAACTGTCGTATGGCAAACGATATGTCAGAGGAAAGATGGAGTTCCGAGAATCCCATAGAACCAGGGCAGTCAACTTCTAGACCTGAAATGAAAATGTGGTTTAACGTTTTCATTCTGTGCAACGGGACTTCGGTTTCATTACAAATGGCGCCCGAAACCATATATACTCTTCAAAAAAAGTAGGGGATATTGAAATGTAAATACCTATGCAGGTTGTGATATGATAAATAGTCATGGACACTTGACATGCTTTGAGAGTATGTTCACAGATGAAGAACTTATCGCCCCAACAGAACCACTGAGTTGCACATGCGACACGCAATAGCGCTAAACACGTGGAAGGGGTTCAATGTGAAATTTGACACTTCAAGGAAGGGTTGATGAAAACTGCCGTGTGCTGGTTTATCTATCCATGTTTGCTTTCCTATCGGTTCTTGCATAAGATTTACTGTTTAGCTTATCGCTGCTTTAGTGTGCTACGTTTAATTTGATCGGGAGACGTGTTCGTCGACGTCAACGTCAACCGACATCACCACAAGAATTGGCCGTGGCACTGCAAGAGGAGTGGGTCAGATTGCCCCAAATCATGATTGGACGGTTGATTAGGAGCATGCCACGACGAATTGCTGAATGTCTGAGGATTGGTGGAGCAATTACTCATTATTAAGACAAAAATCAAAAACGTCAGTTTTCACTTTTGACGGCGTATCTCTTTGCGAGTGAAATGGGGCCGTCAGATAAGCCGCCCATATGAACTGTTTATGTTCATGTGTAGGAAATTGGCCTGTTATTAACATATACTGGTTACCTCTAATAAAAACAGCAGCGCATTTCCGCTGTTTTATATTGTTTCTGAATATCCCCTACTTTTTTTGAAGAGTATATACACACGACTCGTGTAATGATCTTAAAATGCTCATTATGTCTTAAATATTGGATATTAGGATACTATATTTTAACGGCAAGATAACTAAATCAATATTGATTGAAATGAACCAATAATGAATTCTAATTCCTGTTTTTAATTTCAAATATTATGGAAAATATTGAATTAGGGGTTTAGCTCCTTTAATTCTCAATTCTATTGAATTTGGGGTTTAGCTCCTTTAATTCTCAATTCTATTGAATTTGAATCTTGATGGTTTTCTGGCTAATCTAAATCATCTTACCTGTGAACGCCGTTTCCCATGGATACATGGCTCCTTTGTAACCACGGAAACCAGCATTAGCCTGCGCTGAAACCAGCTTCCTCACTCTAGAATCTATGATCAGTTTACTAATATCAACATGAAGTAGAAGAATCGATGGGAACATCCAGGTTTCTTGGTCCCAGAATTTGCGGCCACGATAATCCTAAAATAAATAAGCATGTAGTAAGAAGGGGAGTAACTGATATGTTTTAATGACCTACTGTTCTGCTCTAGGCCTACCGGGCAAATGAATTAATAAAGCGGGTATGCTCCATGCAGTGTGCTGCAAGGAAAAGTTTGCCCGAAAGGCCAACGTGTACACGGGACCACGGTTTTTCGTCCCACCCGAACGACTAGACGCTGTCACATGTCAGGCCCCTTTGTCCTGCAGCACTGACAAGGGAAAACCACGCCGGAAAATCCCGATGAACTTTCCCGGCTAAACCAGGATTAAACAAGGGACCTCCAGGCTAGATAGGCAGCGTTTTACTCACTGAACCATCGCGGCTCCCTTGTAAGAAGGGAATGGGATGAGATTTAAGGTACCGTGAGAAACATCAAAAACGATCGGCATGAAACTTGACCTGCTTGTTCCTTGGACAATTGTGCATATTTTGACTGACCTCTTTTTTGATATGAAGGCACGATTATCGTACTTTTTAAACCTGCAAATTCATATTTTTAAGTTATATTTTTAAAATTTTTTAAAATAAAGCCTTAAAATAGATGGTATCCATAAACCGTTCTACCTTGTTAAAGAGTAATCCTATTAATCCTATAAGTCACTATTGCCGGCTGAGAAATTGGCAAAAATATCATTTTCAACTTCAAATTCCAACGTTTGAAGGTAGCTAATGCATGGAGGTAATTGTGTTATTATTTCCTGTGTCAATGATTTTGAAGGGTGGGAAATAATGCCCATGGTCGTATAATAGTGAGTTGATAACCTATTGAGCAAAAGACATAGAAATAATTATGTTTTGACTTTCTTAGAAAATATGAAATTACCGCTTTCAGCTTAAAATATCATGAGCTAAACCAGTCCCCAAAATACGTACCCCTGTGCCACCATGAGCTAAACCACACGGTGCCAGTCCCCAAAATGGCCAGTTATGTTGATCACTTTGTAAAGGGAGAGAACTGAGTAAGTAATACAACGTGGCATAGTTGGTTCTAGCCAGTTCATCATTGCCTTCCACGTCAATGCGACCTTTATTCCAGACGTCCAACCAAGCATCCACATGAGTTGAAAGAAGAGTTCGGTTGACCATCAAATCCATACCTGAATCAAATATTATTCAAATATTTCTTGTACCAGTAACCAAGTTATCTGTGGCGACGGGGGTGGGGGGGGGGGGGGTTGTGGAGGCGGGGGGGGGGAGGGGCTCCTCCTAATGCTAAAGATCCCTACGCGCAATCGAATTACTTTGAAATAAAATTGAACCATGTGTTAGTCCCGAAATGACCTAGTTTGTGTCGAATGGACGTTAAACCCCATTTATCTCTGTTGTGGTGACGTCCGGCTAATTCCAAAATGGTCGCGATAACGCCCTAGACCTTAATGGTCGGTTCCTAGTTCATCCTATTAGCAGGTCGGGATTAAATATGTCACCACCAAACGTCAGACGTCATCCGTCGAGTATTTTAAAGAACTGGCAGTTCTCACTATAATAGTTAAAAACTAGATAATGTAAAGGGGATATGCTGAAAATTTAATCAAATTGTTCCACTCTGAACCGAGATATTAGCGTTTGAATTTTAGGCCTTGCCTCGATTGTCATTGTTACCGCTGTCACGATAATAACAAAGTCTCGGTTATCCATTTTTGCGCTTAATCATCAACGGACGTTGAACAGCAGATCGGATTCAAATCCAATGAAAATCGGACAGATAAGATTGCATCGAGAGTTGATTATGGTCTTTTCATGTTAAACATACATTATGCAAGAGCTAAATCAGCCAATCGCCGGTCTTTTTTTATATGCCTGAAATGTGATCTAAATGATTAATTAGACATTAATTAACTTATCCAGATCATGTCAACGCTATCCTTCGATATTTATTGGATTAGGGACCGATTTAATGCTTAACTTTCATTCATGATTTAATCATGAAATGGATAATCGAGACTATGTTTTCTATCGTACCGATTTTAGTAATGAGGATAGAGGCTAGGCCGAAAATCCAATCTCTAAAAACTGAAATTTTTAGCAAATTCCCTTTACATTATCTAGTCTTTAACTATTATAGTGAGAACTGTCAGCTCGTTACCTTCCATAAAATGCATCTTTAATAAATATCTAATTAATAATTTACATAACATTTTAGGCTAAAGAAAGACCTGCAATAGACAGATTTACCTCTTACATAATGTCTAATTGATAATTTATATAACATTTCAGGCCTAAAGAAAGACCTGCAATAGGCAGATTTACCTCTTACATAATGTCTAATTGATAATTTATATAACATTTCAGGCCTAAAGAAAGACCTGCAATAGGCAGATTTACCTCTTACATAATGTCTAATTGATAATTTATATAACATTTCAGGCCTAAAGAAAGACCTGCAATAGGCAGATTTACCTCTTACATAATGTCTAATTGATAATTTATATAACATTTCAGGCCTAAAGAAAGACCTGCAATAGGCAGATTTACCTCTTACATAATGTCTAATTGATAATTTATATAACATTTCAGGCCTAAAGAAAGACCTGCAATAGGCAGATTTACCTCTTACATAATGTCTAATTGATAATTTATATAACATTTCAGGCCTAAAGAAAGACCTGCAATAGACAGATTTACATGTAGCTCTTGCATATTGTATGTTTAATAAAACGTGTCACTAATAATGGAATTTTTGTACATTTATCTGATGTTGGTCATGACGTCAACTCGTCAACTGTATTATATATCCAACCTAGGAGGGTTGGTTGACCGAATGGCTTAACGTATGCGCTATAAATCATAAGGTCTGTCACTGAGTTAAGTGGCCTAACAAGGAGTAGGGTCGCCTGTCCAACGGCATGGGTTTTTTCGGCTCTCCGCTATAGATCATAAGGACTGTCAATGTGTCAAATGGCGTAACAAGGAGTAGGGTCGCCTGTCCAACCTCGTGGGTTTTCTCGGGGTCCTCTGGTTACCCCCCCCCCCCCAATGCTAAAGACCCCTATGCGCAAACGAATTATTGGAATAAAATTGAATCATATGTTAGTCCCAAAATGACCTAGTTTGTGTCGAATGGACGTTAAACCCCACCTTTTCCTTATAGCCTACCTTTATTATAATAAGTGATAGATTCACTACTGTGTAGACTAATACCAGTAAAGAAGTAAACTGTCATGGCCGATATACCATTAGGTATCGTTATAGTCTCAGGTATTTCATCATATATAATACCCACAGGTATATCACCAACAACAGACGGATATTCCGGATCAGTTGTTCTACCAACTAAAATTCTGAAATTATAATATCAGGTGTTTCATCATATATAATACCCACAGGTAGATCCCCAATAATAGACGGATATTCCGGTTCAGTTGTTCTACCAACTAAAATTCTGAAATTATAGATTTTGTTTTTTTTGTTTATTAAAGATACATTATGTAAGATTAGATAAAGAGCTGGCAGTTCTCACTATAATAGTTAAAAACTAGATAATGTAACGGGAATTTGCTGAAAATGTACTCGTGCAAGGGGAGAGACCCACTCTCAACTCTACGTTCCGTTCCTGTGATATAACGGAGCCACGGTGGCTAAGTGGGTAAGACACTGGTTCGATTCCTGCATTGACCGAGAATGATCATCGCGATTTTCCAACGTGGTTTCCCCTTGTCAGGGGTGCAGGTAGGAGGGCCTGACATGGACAGCTGTCTAGTGGTTCGGATGGGATAAAAAAAACGAGGTCCCGTGTATACTATGGCGTGCACGAAAAAGATCTCTTGGCAGATGGAATTCAAGAGTAGGCCAAAATTTCCCTCATAGCCCACTGTATGGCATATGCCCGTCTTCATTAGCCAGTATAGGAGCAGAACAGTGGAACGTTAAACCCCATTTCATTTCTATCATAAGGTCTGTCATTGTGTCAGCTGGCGTGAGCTTCATTCCCCGGTTGTACGTGTCACCTGTCCAACCTCGTGAGTTTTCTCCGGGTCCTCGGGTTTCCTCCTACTATTAAAGACCGTTACGCGCAAGCAAATTATTGAAATAAAACGAAACCATATGTTAGTCTCACTCTCTCTCTCTCTCTCTCTCTCTCTCTCTCCCTGTAATATATTTCACAGGGCTACACTTACTTGCCGTTATTAAGGTATTTTAGTTGTGTGTTATATTTGATATCAGTGCTGGGTTTACCACTGTTCACCTTGATACCCATAGTAACATTCTCGTTACCTTGACGACTCATCTCTATTTCAACAACAAACAATCGGTTTAAAACACGATGTGCGTACGTTCTGATTTCCATATAAAACCCATCACCTTCATATCTTTCTATAAATATACCTAAATAATAACAGGTAAACAACATTTAAATACAAAAACATCCAGAGGTGGTAGAGGGTAGACTTATTAAAACACAAAAACAGCAAGAGGTGGTATATTATCAAAATGCAAAAACAACAAGAGGGGTAAATGTATCAAAACACAAAAACAACAAGAGTGGGTGGGGATATCAAAATACAAAAACAACAAGAGTAGTTAGAGGTATCAAAACTCAAAAACAACAAGTGTAGTTAGAGGTATCAAAACTCAAAAACAACAAGAGTAGTTAGAGGTATCAATACTCAAAAACAACAAGAGGGAGTAGAAGTATCAAAACACAAAAACAACTAGAGGGGGTAAAGGTATAAAAACACAAAAACAACAAGAGGGGGTAGAGGTATCAAAACACAAAAACAGCAAGAGGGGGTAGAGATATCAAAACACAAAAACAACAAGAGTAGTTAGAGGTATCAAAACTCAAAAACAACAAGAGTAGTTAGAGGTATCAAAACTCAAAAACAACAAGAGTAGAGGTATCAAAACACAAAAACAACAAGAGGGAGTAGACTTATTAAAACACAAAAACAACAAGAGGGGGTAGAAGTATCAAAAACAAAAACAACAAGAGGGGGTAGAGATATCAAAACACAAAAACAACAAGAGTAGTTAGAGGTATCAAAACTAAAAAACAACAAGAGTAGAGGTATCAAAACACAAAAACAGCAAGAGGAGGTAGAGGTATCAAAACACAAAAACAACAAGAGTAGTTAGAGGTATCAAAACTCAAAAACAACAAGAGAAGTTAGAGGTATCAAAACTCAAAAACAACAAGAGTAGAGGTATCAAAACACAAAAACAACTAGAGGTGGTAGGCGTATCAAAATACAAAAACAACAAGAGGGAGTAGACTTATTAAAACACAAAAACAACAAGAGGGGGTAGAAGTATCAAAACACAAAAACAACAAGAGGGGGTAGAGGTATCAAAACACAAAAACAACAAGAGGGGGTAGAGGTATCAAAACGCAAAATAACAATAAGTTGAAGAGCCCCCCAAAACAATAAGGGAAAGAGGTCTCAGAAGACCAGGAATGAAAAAAGGAAACAGCTTAGAAATTAAGGTACCCATTGCAATAATTAAAAAGAAACTTTAACCACTTTTAGTCTTTCAGGGTTTATGGCCCAGGGCGTGCTTCTATTTTTTAAAAACATATTTGCTAAACAATTTCGTTTAATTCTACACACAGGACATATTCAGAAACGTTTTTTTACGTTATTGTCAACGATATTTCATATTGTAAAGGTGTTTTTAATCACGAAACAGGTAATCAGGTAGTTGTTGTACCTTTAATATATTTCTAGCTAGATCTAGTTTATATAATCTATTAGAACAGTTACCTCTAGCTAGAGCTAGTTTATATAATCTACGAGTACAGTTACCTCTAGCTAGATCTAGTTTATATATTCTACTAGTACAGTTAGTTACCTCTAGCTAGATCTAGTTCATATATTATACTAGAACAGTTACCTCTAGCTAGATCTAGTTCATATATTATACTAGAACAGTTACCTCTAGCTAGATCTAGTTCATATATTATACTAGAACAGTTACCTCTAGCTAGATCTAGTTTATATATTCTACTAGTACAGTTACCTCTAGCTAGATCTAGTTTATATAATCTACTAGTACAGTTAGTGAGACATTCAGTAATAACACCACATGTTGACGCTATACGTGCTCGATGACTTGTACAATTATAACCATTATATAAACCATTCATAAACATGGCATCTCCCTGAATTACTGTAGCTATATGACCATTACCAATCTCAGGCATCAATCGGGGATCTTTTGGTAACCTTTAAAAATAATAATAGTTAATCAACCGTGGATCACTTTTAGAAAAATAAACATCGGGTGTTATAACGAAAATTTTCCCCGGTCTTGGGCATAAACATTTAAATTAAAAAAAAAAACCCACGTAATATAGTGAACATATTCCTCAGTCTGGTGCATCAGTCATGGATCATTTGATGATCTTTAAATTAAAACACACCGAAAACACGTTTGATAATGAACATATTCCCAACTCCCGGGCATCAACCAGGAACACCGGAACGTCCGAGGGAAATGGAGGCGGAGGGGAGGGGAGGGGAGGGGAGGGGGGGGGGGCTCCTCTGTCATGATTGTGGAAGTCCTAGAGTCTTCCACCGAACATATCCTTTAAATTCTATTCAACGCCAATCGGGAACATATTTCCACACCCTGTAAATATTTATAGGTTGACTTGTGACAAAGTGGTCTATGTTTTTCATCAAATTGATCAATCATTTAGGTGCATAGAACTTACTGACCCCAGCTGGTTTTTGATAGTACATTATATTGACTTTTCAACTCTGTATATATTTATGTTAGTCACGAATTGTCTGTGTTCTAATAAAACATGAAATAGGCATAAATCGGGATGAGCTCTATTCTAAGTGTGACTTACTGTCAGTAAACTCCTGGTTATATAACGTCCGACAGTAGGGAAGATGTATAAGAGTCATCATCATATATTGGTATAGTTTATTTATCAGATTATGGTATGATTAACGGACCACTGTGTGTTTCTTTTCAAGTCTGTTATATGTAGTGCTACAGTCTGACTACAATCAGCTCCCATTGAGAACAGACACTTAGCTAGTCGACCGAAATTTAAGTCCTAAACCGATGATTTTAGAAATTAAATGGGGTTTGACGTCCTACTGTTCTGCTCCAACAGGGCTAATGAAGATAGGCATTCGCCATACAGTGTGCTATGAGGGGAATTTTGCCCGGACAGCGGCACTACGGCCTACTCTTATATGGAATTCAAACTGTCAAGGGATCTTTTACGTGTACGCCAATCTGTACACGGGACCTCGGGTTTTTGTCCCATCCGAACGGCTATACGTTGTCCCTTGCCAGTCCCTGTGACCTGCATCACACCAGATAATTCCGCCGATGAACTCTCCTGGACAACGCAGGGATCGAACACGGGACCTCCTACTCACTGAGCCTACTCACTAATCTGTGTGCAGAATGGGAACGCCCGACACATTTCTAATTTTCAACGACAGCACTGCTCTCTCCCTCTCGTAAAGGGATGTATATAGAGTTGTGTTTCTTAAGGGGTGGTGGTTGGGGGTTCCATATATCGCCAACGGTGGCACAAACTCTAATTACGCCATTGAATGCGGATGCCCAAAGATAACCCGCGGCAGTTCATTACATTTTTTTTATTTTTTTTTTATCGATTTTGTAATGACGAGTTTCAAATTAGATTAAACACTCATGTGAATACCTTTCTTTCATATTCACCGCTATTTCCATACGCTCGCCCTTTTAGAAAGGGGGATCACGGTGGCTAAGTGGGTAGGGCGCTGGCTCGCTAGCCTGGAGGTCGGGTGTTCGATCCCTGCATTGGCCGAGAAAGTTCATCCCGATTTTCCGGCGTGGTTCTCCCTTGTCAGTGATGCAGGACGGAGGGGCTGACAAGGACAGCTGTCTAGTCGTTCGGATGGGACGAAAAACCGAGGTCCCGTGTTCTCATTGGCGTGCACGTAAAAGATCCCTTGACAGTTGGAATTCGATATAAGAGTAGGCCGTAGTGCCGCTGTCCGGGCAAAATTTCCCTCATAGCACACTGTATGGCGTATGTCCGTCTTCATTAGCCCAGTTCGGAGCAAAACAGTAGGACGTTAAACCCCATTTCATTTCATTTCCTTTTAGAAAGTTACCAATCTAATTAAAACACAGATCTATATTTCGTTTCGATGGCCTACACTACAAAACTATAAAAAACGAAACGAAATAGGATCTGTATTTTGGGAAGTTAGGTGTCTATCGTTTCGATTTGGCCTTGTAATGTTTAATGTACGTTTATTGTTAGATTTCTACTAGATCTATAATGTACAGTATTTAAATTGAAATTGTTTAAATAAAAA